GCCACTGAGCCAATATTTATTAAATTAGATCATATGTTTCTTTGCAGAAAAAAACTTTTTCTTACTTTTTTTTTTACTTTTTCCATCTTCAAGTTGTATGGTTAGGGTTAGGTGTCAGTCACCATCTTCCTATTGTTATTGGTCTTCTGCTTCTAGGATACACCTGCTTACAATATTATTGTTATGGAAGTTATAGAAAATGATCAAAGGAAACACAATTGTCGTTGTACATTTAACATGTTTCTTTCATTTAAATAGTAGGATAAATGTTTCTGTGGAAAGGAGCCACATTACAGTTTTTCATTGTTTCTTTGCGAAGTTTTTATTCTTTTTTTTTCATTCTTGACAAAGAGGAGATTAAGTTACTCAATCTCTCTGAACAAAGTAGTAAGTAACGAGCAAATCATTGTCTGTACTACTGGTCATGTATGGTCCACTTTTACCTGTGTGGCCACACAATTACACTCCTTTTTTTAACTTTTTTTTTGTGTTTTCTACTCAGTGTTGTTCAGTGTTCAAAGATGTAGCACGTTGCTGAGTGGCTGTGGTCTCATGAGGTCTCATTATTTTGGAAAGGGCACAGTTGGTGTTATTTTCAGATCATGACATTCACGAATGCATATGGACAAAGTCATTCGACAACCTGCCCGCTGACCCGCCCACAGACACACACACATGTTTCGGTTTATTTGTTTAAGTATGTTCATACAGAAATTCACACTAAGACAAGAATAATGAATTATGAATAATCGGTGCAAGGGTTATTTGTGCCTGAATACATTTAAAATACATATATATTTTAAATGTAAAAAATACATATATATTTTAAATGTAAAAGATACATATTTTAAATGTATTCAGGCACACATGCAAAGACTAGCTTCTGAAACTAAACAGTAGTTGTAGGTTCTCAAAGACGGCAGATGAAAAAACGCTACGACACAAAGGCAATTGGTATTCATACCATGAAGCAGACATTCTGTGTTTGTAGTCTTATTTTCAGACAAAAGGGTGGAGAGAGTATGATTCCATTTACAGATCATTTGTGTTTCTTTGCGTAAAGGGCTTTTCCTCCACATGCCGCTTTCCACTGGCGTTAAGGCTTAAAATAAGAATACAATCTTTGCATATACAGTACACTGGTTTCTTAGGACTGTATGAAGTCTGCACAATTCATTTAGAAGCCAAATCAAACAATTCATATATATGCATGTAGAAATAGATATGCAATGCAGAGTTGGCCTGCTGCCTTTGTGTGTCGGCCTGGTTCCACAAGTATGCAATCAGACAAAGAGAGAGAGAGCATCCTGCAGGTGGACTTGGTAATTATTATTATTATTATATGTCCGTGGGAAATGTGTCGACAGGTTCAGTTGCACACAAGGGCACACGAGCAGCTCAGTGAAACAGACAAATAGACCTTGAAGAAAATACATCCAGACGTCAAACAGCTATTCCCTTCTTCTGACAGCTACGTTCCACCAATAATACACTCGTACAGACATACGATTGTATAATCTATAATACCCGGCCACATGCTTTAGCTGAAATCGTTAACCACCCCCCAACACACACACACAAATACACGCACATACATTTAGATCCATTAGGAGAATAATCAGGGGAATAAATGCAGATATATTTGCAGCAGAGTATCTTTGTATTTTTTTTCATGTTTTTCCACTGTCCCCCGCAGAGTGTCCTCTGTGGGGTATTTCTTTAATGTCAGACACCACTTTGACAAAGAGAGACAGGGAAAACCTTATGTGTGCTGAAAAATTGGTAAATTGCACTGCTGTCTTTCTTTTTCAGCAAAGGCTATAAGACACGTGTGTGCTGTTTGAGTTCACACAAATAATTTAACTGATTTTGGGGACACTCTCACATGCAGTATATTTTTCTGGTGATGGTTGAAAGATAAGTTTAGTGGTTTGGGCACATGAATACCTGTGCCAAAATTGCCCAATTGGTTGATGCATCTGGCATCTGTATTGTTGTTCATGGAGTATACAATCACTACGACGAACCCGAGGATGTGTTTTCAATCTCTGGAGACCAAAACTGCTTTGCTAGTTTAACGAACTGAGTAGGATGAACTCCTTGTTGCAATGAAATGAAATGAAACAAATATTGTGGCTCACACAATATGGCCCATGAGCATATTGTTAATAAGGCTGCTTTTCAATGCTCCATGCGATTCGTTGGTTTGTAATAAAAAAACAAAAAACGCATGTACTGTTTCAGTTGTTTCAGTGTCTTTGTCTTCCAGTGAGTCATGAAACAGAGGCTCAGGATTTCCCTTCAATCGGACAGAAAAACGGGTTGGCAGAATGTCTCAAAATCTTTTTTCTCTGGCTCAAAATACTGCCGTATTATTCTATTCTTGTTCATTTTCTGTCTCCTCTCGAACAGTCACATCAAGCAGAAGTGACTCTGACGAGACACAGAGACGCTTTTCTCATGTGGAGGAAAAGCACCACAGTATGTTTTTGAAATAAGACATTTTGCAGTGCGCATCAGACTTTGGAGTTGAAAGAATCAGACTCCCCTGCTTATCAGTTTAGAGTTTCTATCTCCCAAAAACATTCCCCTTGGTGCAGTGAGGTTTCCTTACTCACTGTTGAGTATCTATCAGTTAAGTGCTTTCCTGCAAACCCAAACGCTTCGTGATTTTACAGTACAGAACAAACGTGCGTGTGTTTGTTTATCTGTACTGTGCTAGAACCCCCCGGATAAACTCATGCATGGTCTGTGTGGAGGGGGGAGAAGGTCGACGTCCTCACAAACCTTGGGAGGATAACTACTGCGGACAGAGAAACAGATATCAAAGCCGGAACAGGAAAGGCATAAACAGCGTCAACATCCACAATAACGTCTTCGATACAAAAAAACAAGCTCCGCAAACTCAACTGTGATTTTTAATATATGCAAAAGCTGCTTAATCAATGCTTCAAAATCATTTATACATGTCTGCATCTTCAATCCCGTGACTGGTTAACAGCACAGGCACTATGGTACTGTGATACAAGTGTTGCTGGAGGAGGGGATGATAAAGGGAGATTAGCATGTCCATCCGTTATAGAGCAGTGAGCTTGGATCAGCTCGGTATGATGCCTGAATTGAAATGTTGCAAGTGGGAAGTAAATGTCTCTTAAATGGGTCAAAGGGATAATTGATTGGCAAATTCCACCTTGTTATAAAACACTCAGTGGGTAAGAAGTGATTGAGTCAACCGCAGAATTCTTTAAGGGATTTGAAAGAAAATACTACTGTGTGTGGTATTTACAGACGGTTTAACCCTGAGAGAATGAAAGAATAACCGAACAACAGTTCTCGTTGGAATCATCAGGTACATATAGGATCTGTTGTGTGTTTTTCTATAGCTCATGTTTGCTCCGTTGAGTGTAGTTAATCTATGGCGGGTTTAGCTCTGTACCCATGGAGGCGCAGTGGTGATCGTGAGGGAGTTTCTATTCTACGGTGCCAATGTGAGGGTTTTTGGGACAGAGGATGTCGCATGTGGACCGATTGTAAAATGTGTCATTTGGGATTTGGGGATTTACAAAATGAATGGAATTCAATCGTAAATTTGATTAGATGTGGATGTGGATGCCCCATCCTCTGCGTGTCATTTCTTATTTTTCCCTTATTTCTCTGTGTGAGAGACATTTCTGGGCCTCTGCATTTTGTTACTAGCAGGAGATGCCTTTCCTAATGAGCTCTCTGTTCAAGAGCTGATGGACAAAAACCACAGCATCTGTGCAAATATAAATTTCCTGCGTTTGTCTAAAGCTAATATGAGACTTCAGCAGTCTGTCTAATCAAGTGGATCCCCGACTTCTTAAAATCTCCCTTTACTTTTTGCCGGATAGTCTTTCCATTAAAACGACGTGAATGTGAATTGTGAATGTGACTTTGTATTTGTCAAAGTGTCCTACATGTTTTAAATAACTACTCGCAAAGCTTCTAATCCACATTTTTAGCTTTCTGACTGATATCTGCGATCCCTGCAGCAGCTCTGACCTCAACAATCTTCCAAACCGTCCATCTCCATTTCCTAATCCTGCTCCTGCAGTGCTCACCGTATCCATCTCATTGTGCTTTTAAGCTTTTCTTCTCCACTTTTATGAGCTTCGTGCTCTCTTTCTGACCTCCCTCTCATTTCCTCCAGATAAATCCCTCTTTTCATACAATCTTAACCCCATGCCTCATCTCCCATTTTCTTTCCTCTTCTGCAGAACAGTTTTACGCAAACAATGAAATTAAGCAATCGCTAATCAGTCCAAGTAATTGATAACACTCCTGAAGCTGTCAGGAGCTGTCCAGACGCCAGATTTGTATGACATGTGTGCATTGAAGTATGTAGCACAAAGGTCACCACACTTGCATAGTGATTAGAAGACTTTTCTCTCACCGAGTCGGCAGGTGAGGCATCTCAGTATGTGTTTCTCACTGAAGAGCCCTTGAGCAATGGCCAATGTTTCGGAACCCCAGAAATGGTTTAGTCAGGGGATAATAACTTAAGATAAGGAGCACCCACTTCTGTAGAAGTGCAATAGTTCATTAGGCCCCTGCTTCAGAACATTCTGAAGATCTTTCACAAACCCCTCAAATCACATCGATGCTTCACGATCACCCACTAACTCAGAAACCTGATCTCAAAGAGACTTGATTTATTTGAATAACACTTATCTCTGCACTGGAATCTTGAGTTAAATAACATTGATGTGAGAATGTTTGTTTAAAGGTTGATTCAATTGAAGTTGGGTTCTCGAGAAACGGTCATCAGAGATAAGAGGAGACAATCTGGAGAAGGAGAAACAGGCACTGCAGGGTAGATATTGGCATCTGTGCAGAGAACTCTGTTGGAAGGGGATATTATCACTACAAGCATAGCTAAAAGAGACATAATTGATCCAGTAAATACATATTGTTGCCTTCGTTTCTGCACTTTTGTTGTTCAGTTACATTAGTCCTACAAAACAAACTAGAAGAAAAGCTCATTTCCAGCAGCATTGGCTTTTTTTTAATAACAACAATAAAAATAGACAAGAAACAACTGGTTTGTAGCCAAAGCAAGCGTGTACAGTAGTAGGCCGGTAAAAGTACAATACAATCTGTAAATACATAATAGAATACAATAAAATCTAGGTCAGACAGAAGATAAATCAAAATAGCTGAGGTCCACTTGTTTGTTCCGTTACCAGCCAGTGGAACTACAACTGATCATCAAACGGTGGTCCTCACATCGGCAGCTACACGCTACAAAGAAGCATTTTGTTGGTCATGATCATAGAATGGATTTCAGCTGAAAAAAATGCTTGTATCTTAAGAATGTGGTTGCAACAAAAGTCAGATAAATAATGTGGTGGAAAAACTGGAATTTTAATAAAACATTTTCGAAAAAAACAAAACACTAAAACACTTAATATCCCTGTTTGCTAGTGTGCCATTAGCCGGTACGGTGGAGAGTCTGAACCCTGCGAGGCAGTCAGGAAGTATATGTGATCAGTACATTCAGTGGATATTCTAGACTCTTCAATGAATAGGCTTCCAACCGTGCAAATATCTTTAGTCCAAGAACAAACCAAACACAAACCTTCAAGTTTTAAGTGACCAGTTCGCCCACTGAATCAACACATCATGACCTTAAACATGTTAGAAAACACCCATTTTAATGAGGGTGTGAAACTGCTGTGGAGTCCATCACAACTGAACAGTTAAAAATGTTCCTCTTGGAAAAAGGCCACTCCATTTTGGGATGAGAGGTCCGTCTCATCGGGTTGGTCCAATGTGTTTTGTTCTCAGTCCAAGTCAGAGCTCCCTTCTGTCCACTGGGTTGAAATCCACTGGGAAATGTGAAACACGCAAACAGCCTGAGGGGTAAGGGTCCAGCATTTCCGCGGGTCGGGAGAGGGCCACGTCAGTAGTTCCTTGCAAGGAAGAAAAATCTGCTCAGCCAAACACCGCCATTGAACTGCAAAAGTCCGAAGGAGGAGCAGCTGCCGTGCTGTCAAACAGGCAGAGTGGCGGCTCGAGTCCCCTGGAGCACAAAGGGTCAGTAAGGCCATTGGACAGACTGTCCCGTATGACAAGGCGAGCTGCGTTGAGTCTACGTGACCATTATTCAGTCGCTCAATCGCTGAGGTGGCAGTCACACAGCTCCTTGTGGATCCTCTTTCGGATAAGCGGCATGTCCTCCTGACTGAAGAGAAGAGGCTGCTTCACGGAGAGACAACGGCAGTACTGACAAAGACAAATGAGAAAAATCAGTGAGGGGAAGACGACCACAGCCAGGTGTCCATATTAAACCCCCTTAGAGCCGGAGCAGTGATGAAATGTGCAGAAGCCTGGGGGAGGAAAGACACACTGGAGACACAGCGATGCTTCACTTTATGAAAAAAACAAAAAGTCTCACCTCAAGAACAAAAACTCCACAGTCGCTGTCATTTTTCTGCTGAGGAATACCCTGAGGGGGAAGAATGCAACAGACTTGTCATGGACTGTTTGAATGCAAATATAACAGGAAAGGTATTTGCTCACTCACTAGCATCAATTGCTCCTGCAAACATGCTTGAGTTATATTGCCGCTATGGTCATTTACATTGTGTTGTGAGTCTTTTATCCATTTATCTTCAACAACTCGAACGAGGCTGCACCTTTTGCCATTTGACTGACATCAACTGTGCCAGCCAATGTATGGTGGTTTTCAGGATGCCAGGCGAACCACACAGCATGAGGATTAAGGTCAGGGGTTAAAGTTACCTTGATGATGGTGATCTTCCAGCCTTTCTGGAACGCGGCCTGCTGCTTCTCCCTGGCTTCAGACTGAAGATACTTCATGATATTCTGACATGGAAGCAGCCACATACAAAACAGTTACGTTGAGCAAAGACGTCAAAGGAATAGCAAACATGTCAGTTTGCCATCGTGAGATAGTATTTATCTGATTTTATGAACGTTCACTACTTTCAACATCTTTAAATTCCATTCAGATTCCAGTGCCAGTACGGTAATAGTTATGGAAAAACTAAACGTTATCGCAACAACAATGTGGAGGCTCAGGCGGATAAAAGATCAACACTTCTCAGTCTAGTTCCGCAGATAAGCAAAATGTCTGCTTAAGTGCAGGTAATTAGCTTTTCACACAATGATCTAGAAATTAACTGAGGATGAAAAACCAGGATTTTCACTGGCAGATTCTGCTGTCTGAAAATACCGCCATCAAACACAGAAAGCAAGAACTCATCTCATTCCAGGACCTTACGGTCCAATAATTGATCAGAAAAACTTGTTTCCGAGGTTGAAATTCAACCGAAGACCTGTTACAAGGAACTACAAAACACATCAACATGCAGAGGCCCTCACATCTGTGGTGTGTCTGAAGACGATGCCTTGGCTGTCGTAGTAACTGATGGTTTTGGTTGCCATGGTGACTGTGATGAGAGACCAGTGGATTTCTAAATGGATGGGAAATAGTAGCAGCCACTTGGAAAACAGATCCACCTGAAATAATCAAATCAGTGAGTCAGTCAATCGAACACCATGTAAACTTTTTGACTTTGTTTACGGTGAGGTGATTGGTGGTGATTTCATGCATTACTGAGGATACTTCACACACTTTATATCGTTAGCTCAATGAATTTAGACCAGATGCAAACTATGGCAATGACTCAATGAAAGAAAGCTTTAACTGAATGGCAACGAAAAAAGAAATATAATTGACATTTAAGTTATGATACTACTGCTGGCAAAACAACTGAGAATCCAAACTGCTTCAGCATCCTTACTTTTTTAGTCCATCTCTTCACGCCATCATAACCTTTGGCAACCAGCTGCTTGTGGAAAAAGCTGTTGAAGAAATGGACCTGCGAGAGACAAAATAAACAAATACATAAATTTCATTTCAAATCACATCAAAAAATCCAAATATTATCCCAAATTTTAACAAGTGCAATTTACCTCTTCCCACTCATACACTGACCCTTTTGCTATATTCTTTAATTTCTAGCATACAATCACACAGTCACTTACCTTGTGTTGTGTCGCCTCCATGAGGAGTTCCCCATACATGTTGATAATCTGAGCAGAACGGAAAACCGAAAAAGATCTTAAAACTATCGGACATCGCTAAAACAACAAATGCAATCGGTCACAAAAGACAACGATGAAAAATGATTTAATTGTACAAAGCTTCATCCGCCTTCACCTGATCATTAAGCCAGTTCTGTTCCTCCAGCGTGCCAAGGTCCTCCAGGCCCAGGGTGTGTTTGTTATAAGACACCATGAAGCCCGCGATGGGAGCAGAGGCAAGCCCCGCCCTGTAACGGGTCATCTTCCTTTTGATGTCCAGCTCCCTAAAACAAAAACAGGCAGTAGAAATGTTACGCAATCATCTGAAGTATTCATTATACTTTCATGGATATTTAAAAAGGAGTATAATATATAATATTCAGATAAGGAAAAGAGAAGCTACAAGGTGAGAGATTAATATCAATATTTCAAAAAAAGGTTACAAGTTCTCAATGTAAATAAACCAGCTACAGTGTGATGTTCGAAACATATTATTTGGAGAGCCACTTTAACATTAGAATAATCTGACCACTGTCTTAATTTACAATAACATGACAAGCTCATTAAAGCGTACTTATTAAAAACAGCATTTTTACGTTTTTTTTGTCAATATTCTGTTTGAAAAATAAATCTGAATATATGCTTTTATGTTATGTTTCTCTGGTCCACTGTGATTGTTGTAACTCTTTCATCTGTATCATTTAATAATGATGTGGTTTCAGGCAGATTTTGTGCGTGTGTGTCCTGATCCCCGGCTCCTCCTTAAAGGACTCCTGGACTTTGAGGTGCGCTACTGTGAGGGTTTTCACCCCCCTCCCACCCCCATCAAATTGTTGAGTGTTTGAGGGTTTTAAATCAGGGAGTATGAAGTATAAAACAAATACCCACAATTGCACATCATGTTTTTTTTGACGTTGTCATGGCAACATCACGCGAGTGAGCAAAGAGCTGTCCCATTTGCATTTACACAAGTTCAAACCCTTAAGAGACTCGCACACTCAAATGGTTTAGGGTCAACCTCGAGATCGGACCCGTGTGTGTGTGTGTGTGTGTGTGTGTGTGTGTGTGTATAGACTAACTTGCTGCTGAGGTCGGAGTTGCCTTTCTTCTTCAGGTATTCCAGGACATCACTTTCTGTGAGAGGATTAAAACTGCCGTACTTCAGGTAGAAGCTCTCCAGAAACTCTGAAAGAGGAGAAATAACTATCACTGAATCCTACGCTCTGGGCTTAATAACATAAACATATATAAATAATATAAACACACACTGCTGATATATGCAACTCAATTCACTGAAACAGTTTTGGCTTGTTCAAGTCAAAGCTGCACTCCTGTGTATTCACTTAAACTTTAATGATGCAGACGTTCTAAGATTTTATTCAACCATGTAAAATAACGAGTCAGGGTTGATATTAAGACAAAAATGTGTCGGCTTAGTGGACTGTTTTTTATAATGTACTCAATGACAAGAAGGAAGAAATGTGCAACTCACTGTAAACTGCCTACATACATGTAGGTTTTAGCCCTATAATTTCAACCTTATTTTGCAAATAAAGTATCCCATGAAAGTTAAACATTTCATAGATAAAGCCACATGTTTTCAAAATGTCTTATGAAAGAAAAAGGCGCCGGCCTCAGCACTTATTGTAGTTTTTTTCACGTAAAAAGCTCAATGACTTCCCACGCATCATTTCAACAAAGCTGAGAACACATCTTACCGTGGATCATATCTGTGAGCTGCTCCAGCCGCTCAGAGTTCTGCTTTTCTCCACCCAGCTCTTGTCCGTTTGTCTTCTCGGATGCTGCCTCCATGGCCGCCCCCACCCAGGTTCCAGGTTGACAGTACAGCCCGTGGTCTCTTAATGCCCAGCTGTACTGCACACTGAGAACTGTAACGGGGCCCTGCAATGGAGGCGCAACCACGGCCGGATGGGACGCTTCGACCTCCATGAGAGTGGAGCAGTGGGCAGCGTTTGTTGGACTGGTGACGTTTCCGTTGGACAGAGTCAGTGGGAAGTTTGTTTGGTCGCGACTTTCGTCCACCTGCATGTCAGAGTCCAGAAGGCCATTTTCCATCTCTCTCATTACGTCACCCTCCTTTGTGTCCTCCTCGGGTTCGGTGTCACTCAGGTTTACCGTGTCTCCATTTCCAAATGAAGATTGAATTGAGCTAGGATCATCCTGCCCACCATGGTCCATATCTGAAGCTTTGTTTTGTCCCTGCCTCTGCACAAACACTAGTGGAGACACACCATCCATTTTAGAACCGTAGACAACAACACCCAAACCTCCCTGCTGTGTTCCACCTGCTACGTCCATATCTGATGCAGGCAACGGTCCCATCATTCCCCTCCCTGTCCCCACTTTTGCTCCCCGGCCTGCTATTGTAGACACCATCATCTCCACATCCCCACTATGACCGCCTCCTTTACTCCCTGACCCTGCAATCAACGGGTCCTCCGTTTTCTGCGTGTCCCTTTTCTCTGGAGTAACATGGTTCCTTAGCGGCACATCCGGCAGGGAGACGGTGACAGGTGGAGCAATATCCGCTTGGGACGGTGTATCAGCCATTACTAGAGTCGTGTGCAACTTCTCGCGGCCGCCATCGCCATCGTCCTTTGCTTCCACCACATTCTTCGTCGTCAGATCGAAACACTTGATGTGTGTCAGCTGGCCCTCCACTTTCCTTTTCGGGGTGTCTTTGAGGTCCCTTCCAGCCCCCCTTCCTCTCCCTCTCCCTCTGCCCCTCCACCTGCCCAAGGTCGGGACACTGTGTCCTGTACTGCCGGGGCCACAGCAGTCACAGGCCTTCGGGGTCCTCTTCCTCCCTGACGTACGGCCATTGACTTGGCTCAGAGTAGCGGAAGGCGAGTGAGTGGAGGACCAGGAGGAAGCTCGGCTTAAGGGAGCACCAAGGGATTTTGTCGAGGGGACATCGGGGACGACGGGGGTTAGGACCGAGTTGGAGGTGTGGTCTGTGGCGAGGAGTTTGGCAGGGGTCACGTCCTGATCTGTAGTATTTCCACGAGGAGGCACAAGAGGAGGAGCAGCCTGAGGTGGAGGGGCCGGAGCAGGAGCAGTTAAATGAGGTGACGGTGATGCTTTCATTGGGGACGCAGAGCCGCTGTGAACCATGACGTCCTCCGTTGGCTCTCCAACCCCATCCCAGAGACTCCAAACAACTTATTTCTCCTTCCTTTTGATCCTCGGAATAATAGGTGTGTGTGTGTGTGTGGTATTTTGGTCTATCCACGTCCTCCTCTGGAGTACTTTAGTTGTGTAGAAGGAAAAGGGATTCTCAAGCCTTTCCCAGTCGGACACGTCACGCATAAGATGTTCCTCGTGACGGGTAGACTCTTAATGGAACAGGAACACCACCATGGCCCCTTAATTAGAGCAAATTAAATAAATGTAATAATAAAAACCCGACTCCGTAAGCGGTATCATTTAATAATCGCAGTGTTCGTGTGCAAGGCAGGACTCATTTAAAATGACTCGATTCCTCTTTCATTTAATTAACGTGCGAGCCAATTGAAACAGTGATAGAATCTTTAATGAACAGGTGGAGAACTGCTCATTTGTTTTAGCTTGCAGCTTAAACCACGTTTTGCATTACGCAATGACTACGGTCAGATTAGATTGAGTGAATTGATTGACTGAGAAGTCACTTCGTTTAGAAACGACTGGTGCATTCAGCGTAGCTTATGTTTGTAACATTGCAACAAGAATTCTTGAGCTGCAAATATTGAGTGTACGTAAATGAGCTATTAGCAGCTTTGATACTCATTAGCGTCTTTCTCAACGTATGCTGAAATTCGTTCAATCATTGACGTGAAGATAGGAAGTTAAAAAAAAAAAAAAAAACTAACGTTACCTCAGATGGTGTGACACTGGCAACCAGGGCTGCTAGATCGAACCGATTCAAGAATATAACGCAGCATGCAGGAATCCGATTCATAATCGCATAATACAAAGTTTGGAATAAGTAATCTCCTTAAAGATAGCTAAATTAGCTAACTGCAGCCAAAATACAAGCGTAAACACAAAGCACCGACTACACACATTTCCTCCATTTTCTGTAGGAAGTTGGCGACGTCTGAAGACGAATGCACGGCTCAATTTTAGATGTAATATGTAGTACAAAACGAAAGCATGATGGGAAGTAGAAAATAATGAATTCGTACAATACCTTCTCTATAAAATCACAAACTGAGTTTTGTCTGACCACGATTTGAACAAACAACAATTCAAGCCGTCGTCGCTTGTTGATCGCGTCACGGCGTCGGTCTGGTGACGTCGTCTGGGTCCGGATGCGCCCCTCAACCCACTTCTTCTTCTTCTTCTTCTTCTTCTTCTTCTTCTTCTTTTCCTTTTTTTGGCGGTTGGCAAACAGCTTTCGGGTGCATTACCCCCACCCACTGATCTGGAGTGTGAACTTACAGTAAGAAAATTAAACCTCTACTAGAACTAAACCAAATCAAAACAAAACAAAACAAAAACTCTCAAATCCTATTCATTAGTCTTGTATTCTCTAAATATGGCAAAAGCAGTTCCCAACACTTTTCCCTAAAGCCCTTCTTCAGTATATTGCTTATATTTGCCCTCCCAGCTCTCTTAGCCCCTTTCTCAGGACTTCTCGCTCTGCCTCGTACCTCTGACATGCCATCAAAACATGGTCCACAGTTTCCTCTTCTTGGCAGTATTCGCACCTTCCATTTCGATGTTTCCCAACTGTATAGAGGGAACTGTTAAGACCAGTATGGCCATTTCTTGGCCTTGTCATTACCCTCTCCTCTTTTCTGTTTCGTCCACTAGCTCCTGCACTCCCAACCAATGGTTGATTGTCTTCCTTTGCTCCCTTTGTTCCATTCATTCTGCCATATCGTTTTAATTTGGCCCTTAATCACCCCTTTAGCTTCTGCCTTACTCATCTTTATATCGAGTATATTTCTCCCACTCTTCAGCGCCCTTTTGCTGCTTTATCCACCTCCTCATTTCCCTCGACTCCAACATGGGCAGGGACCCCCTCAACCCACTTCCACATCCCTCGAGTATTTACAGGTTAAATATTACGGCATAATTTCCTAAATTTAAACTTCATGAGAGAAAGCAAGACGATCAACCGTAATTTAACTCCAGTTTAATTCTCTTTCTATTTGCCTTTTAAGATGTAATGTGTAAATTAATATAAGGATGGTGCTTAATTGAATAATAACGATTGTAATTGTAATTAGTAATGTGATGAATTACATATAATTAAATATATAATAAAAAAATAAAAATAAAAAAATAAAGTCATGGTATTGTCCCTGTTATTATAATGTTTAACTTACAGATCACGGACAACACACATTGTATTTTGGTAATATTTAATTACAAAAAAGACAGGAAAAAATAAATTAAACTAATAATTAAAAAGATATGTGATTAAGTACATTTTCACTAGCTAAAAATTGGTTACATATGACACAATATTAACATGATAACTTATGGTTGCTTGACACCAGTAATTTCCCATTTGAAAATAGGGCTCATGCTTTAGCAAAACAAAGAAATATCTAACACAGGAATATCTATACTAACTATGTAAATGTCATATTGTAGTGTAACGAGTTTATGATTACGGAAAGTTATGTTGCAGAATACCCCAAATTTGTCAACAATGCAAATTAAAAACGATTTAAGTGAATATGTTGCTCATTTAAACATTATTATTATTATTGAATATATTTCAGCTTTATTCAAGGCTTCACACATTCTGGCTTCAAAAAAATAATGCAGCAGATTATGCATTGAAATGAATACAGTCAGCCTGTTGCTATATATTTCTATTTGTACATATGCTCAGCTATATCATTCTCTACTTCAAAACAAAAGACAGTATAAGTCTCTTTACAACTAACAATTGGCTCCAGTGATGTTAAAGGATTAGAAATGACCTGATTACTTTAATCGGCAAGGAGTCTTGCTTTGCACAGGCATGCCCAGCATTGCTGTGGCAATAATGCCAATCATAGTTATTTTTTAAATTGTTGCGGCTTCCGTTATAAAAAAATAAAACAAATATGGTTTAAGGATACATGTGTGTTAAATACATGATGCAAAACAAGCATCACATATGTGTAAAGTTATTTTTTACAATTTTTACACCATTTTGTTGTAGAAGTTCATGTTTATGAAGATGAGATTTGTGTGGTAGACGGTGACAGCTGTGGGGTTTGGGCCTGGAAGAAATAAGTAAAAAAATTAAGGGCGTTATCTTTCATTATCTTTTCATTAAAACATATTATGGAAACATAACATGATGAACATATGTTTTAATCTAACGCGGAAAAAGGTAGTATTTGTATTTTTCACACAGCTACACAGTGTAGTGTATTCCTGTGAAATCACCATTACCTATCAAAGTGAGGCAGTGATGGCTGGAGTGTGTACGGTCTTGGAGACTGAGGCGCCGTTGCTGCCCTCTGCTGTTAACACCTGGAGCTGCAGCTGGTAAACACTGTCAGCCTGAAGACCACGAACCATCACCAACCGCTGAGACTGAGGAGGATGAAGCAGGGTAAGTTCAGAGTATAAACTAAACAGAACGAAAAAAAGGAGCTTAATATATAAATACCTATCCATTTGCCACCCCTACTGAAAAGGCATGCACACGCGCACACACACACACACACACACACACACACACACACACACACACACACACACACACACACACTAAACCTCTCTGTTCCTCACAGGTGCAATGGTCTGTGTCTGGGAGATAAGTGTGTCTTCATGCCCTTCCATTGCCATGTTAACTCCTGATTGCAGTGTCCAGGTGAATTGGAACCCCTCCACAGCAGCCAAGTCCAGTGCATGATGGGATATCCTCCAGCGAAGCTTCATGAGTAGGGTGCCGTTTACTTGTTGAAAGTCTGCGGTCAGTCGTTCTGGACGCAGTACCACTTTTCTGCCGGCCAGGAGGCGCTCTGACACAAACAAAAGATACAACACATTTCCTTCATTTATGACAGAACACTCTAGTAGATTTTATATCTAGAACTGTTTGAACAATGTGATAGCTATCTGAAGTGCATTTAACAAGCGCATTGTGTGCATATGAAAAAAAGATTTCTTTGCTGTTAAAATTTTGTAATAATATATATACGTAGTCTTACCTTCAGTGTTGCAGGTCAAAGCTTTGCCTCGTCTGACCCTGATGGAGGAGCAAGTTGGTGTTGTAACCCAGGCAACAGCCTCCGACCCTTGGTCAGCCTTCATCGCCACGGCGACCCGGTACTTACAGGCAAACAGCAGGCCTCTGATGGTGTGATGGGTGCCCTGCAGAGAGAACATCCAAAAACTGACATATCACAAGTTTCCTTAAAATATACACATTACACTATTATTGTTTTGCAACCGGCCTTGCATAAGCTGCTTGTTAGCTCCATACTAAAGCAAAAACAATACTGTTTAAAGCGGCACTTGACAGCGTGGGAACTTCAAATGGCGAAGAATGGCCTAACTGTTCGAAAAAGCTAAACTTCGCTGAACAGAAATTGTGCTCTGTGGCCTAAGAAAACTGCCCACAGCACTTTGAAATTCATCAACCCACTAAGTCTGTTTTCGTTTAAGATTAGAGGCTGACACCAAGATAACAGTGGGATAATGTTAGCTGATGTTTTTGAGTCCGGCTTCCTCCTGATGAATGGGCTGTGGGCAGATGTCAAGTGCAATGTATGCTGGCAGTTTTCTCGTGGAATTTGTATTGCAGCATTACTTTGTGATTTGGGTTTGAAATAGCTGCATTTTTGCAACAAAGTAGTGAATCAATTTGGATTTAAAGTAGATTTTGTTTTGCCATTTTTTATTTCAATGACACATTTAGTGACATTTAATTTGACAAACTATTTTCCCATAGAGCAGTCTCATTCAAACCTCTCCCTATATTCCATTCTTTTGTATTTAATTATAGAATAATTCGACAAGTGATTTGACAGACTTATGGTAAAACTAATTTAGGCAGAGACAGTGCAAGATGATGGCGGAGAGACAAAGTTTCTAACAGACAGAGGATCAGATCATGCCAGACTGAACTGAGTTCACATAGAAACAAGACACAGTTTCACAAACACATAGACACATAAAACCAAGTCTGGATAGTCATACCTGCACAGTTGTTGTTTTCTCTGTGCTTGTTACATTAGTGGTGCAGGTATGTGGACGCCACCGCAAAATGTATGAACCAGGATGCCGCTGCCTGCCTGTGAAGCAAAAGAGACACAAATTCACTACATGAGGGGACAGGTGTTGACATTTTGTGTTTATTTTTTTTCATGAATTTTACAGTTCTAAGATGAGTATGATAGGATGACGCTAACACTCAAGTTCTGTTATTCTCTGTAATTCTCTTTCACATGAACTCCTTTTTACATTTTCTGGTAAGACATACTGTTGCATGACGAGTGTGTTTGATTTCGAATTCAATGTGAGGTAAATTTGGGTAAATACTGGCAACAATATGACTCAACCTCAACTTATTTGAGTGTAAAAAATAGTAGCTTCTCAGTCAGCGCAAGGCGAGATATCTTGAAATGTGTCATAGGAGGAAAGATAATTAAAAACCATTAACTGCAATACATTTTCTTTGCATCTTTCTTTGGTTTTCTACAGATTTTCCTTGCTTCTTGTCTGTCATTAACTCGTTCTCGGGTTTCAAAATGAACTCACCCTGGTAAGGCCACTTCCAGAACACCTTGACCTGCAGCTGGTTGTCATGGTAATGAGGGGCAGCGACCTCCAGGCGCAGGTTGCCAGCGGGGACAGGATTAAGGGGGGATTCAGGGAGAGGCAAAGAGGAGAAAAGGGGAAGGTCAGAGGAAGACGGGGAGGAGGATGAGAGGGAGGGAGAGGAGGGAAGAGATGATGAAGAGGAAAAAGGGAGCTCGTTGGAGAACTCTTCAGCTTTGGAGGAGAGAACAGAGGAGATGATTTGACGTGTGGAGTAAAGTTACAAAAGATTTTGATAATCAAGCGCATAAATCTGAGGTTTTTCTTGCACATTTTCACAATAAACCTTGTATAGTCAGACATTTTAAACTTTGAAAGTAGGTGTGCTTTCCTAACACCTCTAAAGTAAGCATTATAGAGTAGCTGCTGTGACTACCTCTTACAAGCGACATTCCAAAAAAATACATATGAATCACCAGATGTATGAAACCTGTTATATAACACATGGAATTTATAAGTATATTATATTGTGCCAGGAATACAGTAAACTGGCAACAAGAGCTGGTAGTTAGCATTCCAAGGGATTCACAAATTGGTTTTAACTCGACTGGGTCAAATATTAATACAGCCTAATTATTAATGACAATATGTTACATATAAAATTGTTGGTATGTGGCTTGATAATTGAGCTGCAGAGGGCTCTAATTCTCTGCTAGGCTGACCGACAGGTCACCTATAAACACCTGTGCTGCCTTGATGACCATTAAGGTTGCCACTTTTCACTTCATATGCAAGTTTAAACAGGTAGACCAATAATGCTGACAGCCAGTAAATTCAGAAGCTCTGACCAAACTGCTTACCTGCAATAATTTACTCATTGATGTATCGCTCTGTTAGCAAATGGGTGCTGTGGATTCATGCATGGGCATGCAGCGTTTACCGTCATCATGAAGTTTACGAACTGAAAAATGTGTCCTTGAGTGAGTCTCTATGTAGGTTATTGTTGCTAGAAGACAGTTTAGGTAACTAAATTGAATGCTTGTATTCCAACTAAAACTAAAATTCAAATCCAGCTACATATATTCTGTAACGTAGCTAATATTGTATACAAATTGTTACAACCACTGTAAAGCACATAAGAAATTATCATTAAATCACATTCTACTGAAATTATGAGGAGATCATTGAATATAGTTGTATACGGTTTGTGTCAAATATACCAAGTCTACCGTGATTAGGGAAGTGGTTTATTTGTTTACCTGTATGAGTCATGGTGGTGAAGACAATTTGGGCTCTGTGACTTTTCAGCCTCATCTGGCCCCAGTAGGCCACTGTCTGGACAGACAGGAAGTAGGAAGTAGCAGGCAGCAAACCCAGCAGCCACAGCTCACACTGCGCCTATAACACATTTATAAACGGGAACATTAGCGGAGAAGTTTTATTGGCCGTTGGAAACGGTGCTTCTGGGCTCCAGCGGTGTGTCAGTCCGCTGGAGCGGACAGTCCAGACCTGTTCTACATTACTCTGCTGTTTGACTGACAGCTCATTAACAGACTTTTAGTCAATCAGGTATGTCTGTCTGCTCGGGTATGAGGTAGTCACAACAAAGAGATGGTTGGATGATAACAAGTGTGTGTGTGCGTGGGTGCGTGCGTGCGTGTGTGTGTGTACACTTAAGACAGAATGAGACAAAAGCAAGTTAAAAGCAGTTTCTTAGTGACGTGTAGACAAAATGGTTATGGAGTATTTCCATTACCCTTAAGATAGAAAAAAAACATGTGGCCTGTACAGCTGTGTCTGTGTGTGTCTGTGTGTGTGTATGTAAAACACACACACACATACACTGTTTTTCTGTTGTGGTGCATAATGTCAGTGAATATTATATGCAAGAGGCTGATGTATATTTTAAAGCACCGATTTGTTCCTCCAACTTGCCCTTTTACTTCAAGATTGTTGCTAAACCTCTCAAAGTATAATCATGTGCTAAAAGCAATAACACGTCACTTCTTTCCGTGATATAAAAAAAATAATTCACACAGAAATGTTATTCCGCTCCTTATCTACCTGTTGTGACGCTGCTGACTGTGTGTGTGTGCCTCAGTTAAATTCCAGGCGTCCCAGCCGAGCAGAACTAGAGGAGCAGACGAGAGATAAATGGCCCCACCGGGCTGAGTCTGGGATCGCCATAACTATGCAGGATAGCCAGGTCCATACCGGAGTGCTTGCATTCAAATCTCCAAGCTCCGATATTTAAGATTATTTTTTTCTCTACTCTGGATGTGGATATATATTAGAACAGTTAAGCGTGTCTAAAGCTGATGGATCCTTTGCAAAGATTACTGTTCCAGAATTCAAGGAAGAAATGTTTAGTCGCTGCACAGGCAATCATAAGCGTTGCGCCAGAGCTGTAATATGGGTGATGTTTACTGTGATTATGGGTACTTTGGCACTGCTGACTGGACTGGCATGTATTGTGAGTATATTACATCACCATGATAATCATAATGGTAAAATCCACCCTCTTGACTGTTATAAACACCATTACATATAATTTAAAAAATACAGCAAGAAACCTATTGTATTTCTTAAGAAGTTACTCTTTGAGTTGAGAATCACCGGGCGCAGCCTTGCGGCTACAGTAACACTCATCTAGACATAAACCCAATCTCTGAACACATCTCATGCTTTCCTTCTATAACTGAACACTCACTCACTAATGCCCCTGTGCTGTAATGACTAGCATGTTGTCAGTACATTTCCATATGCTTTGACTTGAGTCAAACATGTTATTCAAATGCTAGAAAGCCACTTCTCTCGGCTGTCAGTCAATCTACATTTGACAAAATTGTCATGTTATTTCAATGCTATGAAGCCCTACTTGCATGTCGTCATAGTACTCTAACAAAGTTATGACCCATTAAGATAACAGCATGTCTGTCTGAAGAAAATATTGGCTTTTCAGATCTACAAGGAACATATGTATGTAGAAAAGTAAAAGTGTGTATGCATCAGGTAACATCCTAACCCATAGAGAGAAGTTATATTATCTCTGAAAGTTTCAATAAACTCTGGTTGGATGTAAAGTTTCCAGAGCGCAAAACAATGTGCATCAAAGCTATGCTCATTATATTCATTTCAATTTTTTATTCAGATGTCTGATCAGTTCCACTCTTCCTCCACCTAATTCTCGTTTATCTTTTTTAACTGGCTATAAGTGGATGAATAAGAGATTCTTTAATTTGAAGTATCCATTCCTGTTTTTTTTCCCCCATTTACACATATGACGGCAAAACTCAAATGCACACAACATACAAGTTGCTATTGTTATATTAAAATAAGTCTTTCCAAGTCACACCGACACCTACATTTGCATTTTGTCTGTTTGAGACGTGTAGGACCCTACAAAATCACAGCCATGAGACAACAAGGAATGTGTGTGTGTTCGCTGAATTGGTTTACAGACCTTGTAAAATGTCTCAGGTGCAGCTATATAGACCTTGTGCACGCTGGGTGTGTGTGTGTGTGTGTGTGTGTGTGTGTGTGTGTGTGTGTGTGCTTTTAATTTATTCTTTGAAAGAACTCATTTGAATTGAACCTACAAACTGAAGAGTGCCTTTCAAGAGTTGCGACATTCTGCCCGTTAATCACTTCAAAGTGTTTTAGGGTTAAAACACGGTTTTACGGTGAATTAAATAGTCTTATATGTTACTTAACTTATAAGTAACATATAAGAATATAAGAGTCTTATATAATACTTAACATTATTAGCTTATTTGCTTGCCAAGAATGAACTGAGAAGTTCTCTTTTCTTGCAGTCTTATTATCACCTGAGGATCAGCGGAGACAACACAGTTCATGATTCTGGGTTAGAGAAAGCAGCATAGAATCCCAGGGGCCATTTTTATCATTTAGTATTTTGGACAGATTTACAGATGAGATATAACCTGTTGAGTTGTGAGCTTTAGAGGTGCTGGTAGGCAGATTTTCTAACCTTTTGACATGACCGAAAAAGTTTCCACCCACTTCCAATCTTTAAGATAAGCTAATGGTCCCCTGGCTCTGCCTTCATATTTATCATACAGACATAAGAATCGTAATCTTCTCAATTAACACTTGGCAAGAAAGGGTATATTTCCCAGAATGCTGAACTGTTTTTTACAGGCTAAACTTTGGTCCATGGGTTGGGTGGGCGGGTTTGTGGGTTCCTATAAGTACAGGTGTGGCCGTATATGTGTATCTGAATACTGCACAGAAAGGAGAAAAAACATAAATGGGGACGGTAATAAATAGTAATGAAAAAATGAAATCCCTATACAATCTCAGTATGATTCGGTTTATTAAAATGTCTCCTTACCCCTTGAGTAATTCTGCTGCTGCTTTCCTTTTTACTCTGCTCTGGTGTGCGTGAGTGTGTACGTCGTGTGTGCATATTATTGTGCACAGTGTGCGTGTGTGTATGCAACGTTTGTGTGTGTTTGTGCGCTGTGTGTGCGTGGCGAGACATCCAGGTGATTCTGTAGTTGTGGACCGGCAGGTCTCCCTCTCTCGGGGGCTCCCAGCTTAAAAACACCGCCACCGTGACTCCACTTCCCCCCGACCTGAGGAGAAACAACCACATGTCATCAGACATCACCACAATACGGATGCAAACAAATGTCAAAGACAAAGTCAAGTGTCCTATCTTTTATTCCTGCTCTGTACACAATTCATCATCATCTTGGTTATTAGGTGTTCAATTACAAAATTGCTGGTAATCCAAGACATGGTCTGAACTTTATTTGTGTGCTGTAATGCTAATGAGGTCAGATAGAGGATGCCGCAATATGATTGGAAGAAGGTTTGGGGATGAACTGTAACTTGCATGCAGCACTGACACACAACCTTCTGAAAGGATGCATAGCTACCAATCCAGCACCATTGAATACCATCGATCTATCTTATCATATTTCATTTAATCAGCATACCTCTTAGTGAGCTGCGGGCCTGTTTGGGAAGCCGTCCAGTCCAGAGTTTGGTTGCTCACTCTGACATTAATTGGTGGTTCTGGAGGTGAAGGGTCTGCAGTGAGAGAGAGAAATGCAGTCAAGAGAGAAATCATATTGGTTGGTACTTTTCTCAGCCCTGGGTAGCACATGCATGTCAGAGCTTCTTTAATGGGGATTTGGGGAGTTGGAGAGAGACTACAGTCCATAAATCAAATAAAACTGTAAAAGACGAGAAGACATCCGCTGTCCAATGCCAGGTCATGCATTGCTCACGGCAACAAAACACAAACGGATATTTAGCAAAGACTAATTGGGATTAAGCTCATGATTCCTACAACGCAGATGCAGTTCAACAGCTTGACCGAATAGTCAAATAACTGAATTTTAATTCATTACAGCTCAGCAAAATAGAGATGTCATTCTGGGGGGCAAAAGGAGAATTTCCTATTCCCCTTAGTCCCATTCAAGTCTTCAAAGCCAATTAGATTAACAGCATCAAAGCTGAGGGATACTTGAGCCCGACGCTGCCCTTTTCAGTAGCTACTACATCACAAACCAAAGGCAACCTCCACTAGTCACTGTTGGCCTCCATGATTAAATCCTGAGGTTGCTGCTCTTTCAGCACTGGCTCTGTATCTCATTAGAAACTCAACCCCAATCCTGTGTTTGATTAAAACAACTAAATGTATCTGATTAGAACTACATCCCCCATGGCAGGCCTCCCACAGGCTTCAGGCTGCGCTCGGCTGACTCCGGTGCAGAGATCAAAGTTAAGGCAGCAGGGTGAGTCTGGAAGACCTGGCCTGTGTGTGTTCGTGGTTCGTATTCAGAATAAGCAGGGTGTATTTCAACGCCAGCGGTAGAACAGAACCTAAACACACTGAGGGCTTTTTCCACTGTGTGTCTCTTTTTCAATGAGTGGATTTCTGTCCATTGTTTCATTAGATAAAGAGATCAAACTCTTCTGAACCAGACATTCCCTGGTAATTACTGCAGGCAGGTACAGCTCAACCCTCATATCTGAATAGGAAAGGGAGCATTTGGAATTCTTATTCGCTCTCTGGTTAGCAACAGTTCACAATGGAGGAACTCAAACCATGCTGACATCTGCAAACTTCCTGATCTGACCCTTGACCTCCAGCCCCCTACTAATCAGACCATTGAACTGGAAACACAAGACGGACTCCTTTGAATAAAGAAGTCTGTGTCTTTAACCTTTAACCCTGGTCCTCAACACTCACACACACACACGCGCACGCACACGCGCACGCACACATACGCACACACACGCACACACAGTCTTAGATGATTAATTGTATATTTGGGAATATAAGCTTGCTGGCTTTCTGCAGAGTTAAATACTGGGCGCAGATTCCATGCTAATTTATGTCCATTGTAGGTGACACTACAGCCAATAACCCGTTAGCTAAGCGTAGAAGAAAGACTGGAAATAGAGGAAAACTGAAAAAAATCCACCAAACATAACCAATAAAGCTCAATCCATACGCAAGAAAAACGCAGGCCGGTGATATGGAGTTTAGTTTACATGACAGCACAGTAATGTTTCTGCCATTTGTGATCTTAAAATAGAGCACAAGAGTATTTTAATCTTCAAGGAAATCAATATTGTTTATATGTTATATGTTGATAGATTTAATTATTTCACATTGTCCTCAGTGATGTAGTGATTGTAAACACCATCACTGGGTTGAAATTGATTTCTCATTCCTGATTTCTTTTAATTTTTGAATTGTGGTTTGCTAAACACAGCACTGCACTCAGATACCCTTCATCCTCCTTTCGTAAGAGAAAAAAATAAACTCTGGCTTATATACAGGCCAGAGAAGTGTAATTTGACATTATGGACAGAATCACCTAACCTGGTGATGGACAACCAGGGGCTGACAGAATGGTTTCCGTAAAACATTCCTCAGCTTGTATATTCACTATATTACATAATGAATTCTAGTAGTTTTTTCTTTGTTGAGGGCAGTGGAAAATCTAAGACACCTCTTCATAATCTCCTTGATGTGCTCAACTGATAAAGACCTCTTTTTTCCAAAGCTCGGTCCAACCTGAAGTCATTATTCAAATGCCGACGAGCTTCAGCCTATCATGGCAGGGGATTCATATCTCTAGCCAATCCTGGCACAACACCAATATGACCTAAGCCTGCTAAGCATTAGAGCAAAGACCTCCTACAGTGTCAGCATGTGTGTGTGTGTGTGGGTGTTGTCTAACAAACCTCCAACAGGGATTTATCACTGATAAATGAATGAGTAGTGGTTGTGGTTGGCCGACTGTATACATATATATGTGTGGGTATGTGCATTTGAAATGACGTATTTTGCCTGTTCATTTCTGCTGGGTGTGCAAAACTTATCCATCAACTCTAATGTGTAAAATAAATATGGAGAACGTGAAAGGAGAAGACGGGTTTCCCTTAGGTTCGGACTTGTCTTCAGAGAAAAGTAGCATCTCTCATGAAAGAACACGTATGGAACGAGAGAGAATAAGAGCACGTGTTGAAACTGAGTTTGTACTACCTTTAGTGGAGATGTAGTGTTTGCTGGGTGTGGTGAAGCCTCTGCTGCCGTGGCTGTTGATGGCTGCTACCCTGAACTGGTACCAGCGATGAGGCCTCAAATCCAACAGAACCACATCTTCAGAGAGCGTCTACAAATACAAATACATCACATATAACTATGACATCCGAGAAATACTTTTGTTCAAAAGCCTTCTCACTACTTCTCTCCATCCGACAGAAACAATGTCCCATGATTCAATAAAGATTTAACAGTAACTTAACATCCCTCCAAAATGTGTTTTTGCTGACCACCGGTGGTTTAACGTTTTACTTTATTACATGGATTTAAAGGTGTACTGTGACATTACAATCTTTCAAAGTACACAAATAGATCTCTTGCTGAGAGCTTTTGAAGAATGGTACTACTCTCCAGTCTGTGCTACAGCCAGACGCGATTAGCTTAGCTTAGCATAAAGACTGGAAACAGGTGGGCAAATGGTTATGGGGCTTTGATCAGCAGAAACAAAACCTGCCTCTAAAGCTCACTAACAAACTATCGCTCAGTTTTGTTGAAGCTCTGCCAACAGAAGTGTACTGGACTATTACTTGGACTGCATCCAGCTCAGGTATAGTGCAGATGTTAAACAAATTAGATGCAAGGCCTTAATTGGAGCTTTAGAGGTGCTGGTGGGCACGCCGTCTGATGTCTGGACAGAACCGTCTAATTTCCCCAAATTTTTAAATACTTTTTTTTTTTAACAATTAAACTGCTGGAGTTTTTTTTATGGAAAACACAATATTTTCCTAACTATGGTTGAAATTGCAAACAATTTACATGATTTGTCTCCTTGACGGTGCAAATTCAATTAACTACTCAAAATCTACTCATCCCCCCAACACACATACACAAACACACACACACACACACACAAGCTGCCATCTATTTAAGTCTATAATGAGCGTTCAGTCATTCAGAGTCAGCCGGTGGAACGACTGTGGCTGCCTGTGGTTCCTTTTAAAGCTCTGCTTATTTATCTAACCTCACACAGCCACACACATAGGCGGACGTACGGTGCGCACACACACACACACACACACACACACACACACACACACGCAGGCGTACGGTTTACCCTGGCAGAGTTAGAGACGGCCAGGGTTGGAGAGGTTTAGACAGCAAGGCAGCAGACTGATGAGGTGGAAATAGAGTCTAAAATCCATCTCCATATTTGAGAAGACAATGACAATCAGTTACGTGTCATATTGTTATGTCTTTGTTTTCTTCACGCTGCAAGCTTTCCTACGTCAACTATTGTCCCCCAATAACCTAAAGACAGAATGTTCTCTTTTAATAATAAAAGACAACTCAAAATGTTCATAAATAAAGACTCTGGGGGGGTGATAGCTACTGTACAGTAGTTACCATGGCAACGGTGGTCCATGGAGAGGCATGGTCTTCACTGGGATGAATCCCGGCATTCCAGCGGGACTGGAGCATGTAAACGACCGGCTCCACGGTGACATTGAACTTTGACACCCACACTACCTTCACACGGCCCTCTGGATCCTCCCCAAAGCTCATCTCTCTGCGAGGCTTCAGGGGGACACCTGGAGGAAATCATGGAAGCATCAACCATAAAGGCAGAAAAGGAAAGAAATGTAAATAACACATAAAACAATTTGATTGTGGCGTCTTAAGGATAAAATTGTACGATATTGTTTACAGATTTGTTGATTGACATGTAAATAAAGTAACTTCACTATCAACTTAGTGACACACGGAATAGGTGATACATTAAATACATTAAACGCACACATTAAATAGTCAGTCATTTTAAAACTAGTAAGTAAACTAATAAAGGTTGATGAAAAAATTGGTAATGCAAAACATGTCAAACAATATTTCTCTGTGTTTGACAAACAGGCAGTTTGCCCTCCTGAAGAGCTCCACTCAGGCAAGCGGACAATATTTAAGGATCTTCATTACATCAAATTTCATTGCTTCCATTTGGCTGACACTTTTGAACAGAGTACACAAGTACGTTTAAACACAATAGGAATAAGAGCCCTAAAAAAGACAATAGAGCCCACAAGATTAAAAAAAAAGACAACAAGCCCCAAACAGCCTCCTTTACCTTTATATAGATTGGCTGGGGCTTGGCAAGTGTGTCCACAGCCATTAGGGCAGCATTTCCTGGAGGACGGACAATGCTTATCCAGCGAGCAGCTCTCCACGCAGGCTGCAGCGAATCCAGTGGCTCGCTGAGGGGGAGGGCAGTCCCCTTGGCGAGACAACCTCAGCGAGGTCAGAAACTCTCTGCTCGTCACACACTCTGTCTGCTTCTGAGAGAGTGAACAGGGGGGGGCTGTTATTTTTACAGTTGTCACGCAATGGAAATAATGTGTAAATATGAACACACGTGGAGAGAAGGACACAACGCAGAGGTGAAAGTGTTTCCTTTGGTAAACTCCTGCTGACTCTTTAAAGGCAGACTTGTCTGAGTGTGTGTCTGTGTGTGCATATACGCCTGCGTCTGTGCACATGGCTGCAAATCATCAAAATGTAAACACCAGTTTTAGCAAACAGCTCTGAATCGTCCTGTGTTCCCAACCAGCCAGCCAGTCAGCCTTCCAGACAGTAACATGCTTCAGCTATTGTGATGAAAAACTTATCTGAAGACCTTGGCTTGAGAAATAATAATTTAGGGCCAGACACACATTACACACTTATAACTGCAGCAAACTCACGCATATACATTCGAATGTCACAAACATGTTATGCATAGCACACATGAGCTTGCATAAACCGACATAGGAATGCTCATTCATGGCATTCACAGTCAAAAAGCAGCTTCGTGGTGACAACAAAAGTACGTTTCTGGTGCAGGAGGCACACCACCACCAAGGGTGCAGTCCCACACAGAGACACACGGACACAAACACACACACACACACACACACACACACAGTTATAAACTATGCAAGCTCTTTCTGTCTTACCTCACAAGACTTTGGAGAAAGCACCTTCCTGGTTTCCAACAGTTCTTTGCATGGTTGAAGGCACTGCACATAAAAAGACAAATAGAAATAAGCAAAAAAATGATGCATACGACACAATAAAGTAACGGTTTTATGATCAAAACCTGTCAGAATAAAACATGATAAATTAAGAAAATCTAGACCAAAAGCATTAGTTCAACATTGGAGCGTCTACTTATTTGCTCAATTTATAGTATATTAGTTGAGAGAATCTGAGTCTGTCTGTTTAATATATAGTTACAGACTGCAGCTTAGCACAAAGACTGGAGATAGCTAGCCTGACGCTGACCAATGGAAACCAAATCCACCAACTAGCACCTCTAAAGCGGGTTTTTCATATTTGGTTTGTTTAATTTGAAACAATGCGCCTGAAGGTTTCTTTCCTGTGTTTTCTGTCACATGTAATCCCTAAAAAAAGAGAATTTTCCTTCATGTATTGTTTTGAAATTTTTTTTGGAGTGAAGAGACAAAAAATAAAATGTAACATAGTCAGACACATAGAGGTGCAGTAAAAGGCAGTGTGCTAGGTCAGCTCTATCCCCTGTTTCCAGTCTTACGAACTACAGCCGTATGTTTAAAATCAACTTATGAGAGTGTAACTCCAGAAAGTTAAAATAAAATATTTCCAAAACTGCCTATTCCGTAAAGTAGCTTAGGCGTAAAGAAATAGGTTTTAGCATTGCAGAGCTCTGTGTGAGCAGGTAGGTAAAACTGAGGAAATACACCCGCCTAGAGCACACATGCACACACTCATCTGGTTTGCCACCTCAGTGAACTTGTGAATGATGGCTCTTAGCAAATTAAATCCAGACAACATATAAAAACTGCGGTTTTCACCCCAAACCTCCACCCCCGTCCTCTCTCTCCCGCTCCCTCCGTCTGTCTCCTTCAGCTCCCCAGTGTGCCTGGCTTCAATCATTTTTACAATATATTCCATCTCACTGATTCCCGGGAACAAATAGAATCAACAAAAAGCAATAAAACCTGCTTTTTCACACAAAAATAGCTACTGTCGGAAAACGTGTTCTCCAAATAGGCCCGTTTACGCGTTTACTGGACAAATGCTACCAAGTAACTTCTCGCTGGACTTATTTTAGCATCAAAAAACTTAAGACCATGAAGACACATGTGCTGGTTTCATCACCTGGTGGATGTGGGCGTGAAGCATGATAGCTCTTTAATATTGTTACTGGCTCATATCATTCAAGTCATGGTAGGAAAAGTTTGGTCTAGCGTGAATTGATAGTCCACCTCCAAAGTGTCCCTACTGAGTATTAAACACTCAGCAGGCTCAAAGCGTGGCAGTGACACGTTTGCAGATGGATTCTCCACAGGACTGTGGCCAGCTTAGAATTACGTGGGCTATAATGGACACCAAAAGTGACAATATAAAAGTAAAAATAAGGGAACCAATGACAAAAGCACCTTCTCTGTTGTGCTTATATGCGCTTCACTAAAATCAATGCACATCTTTAAGGCACAATGGTTTTCTCTCTTCTTTTTAATGACTATAAAACTTAAACTTGCTGACTCCTAATGTCTCAGCTTTTGTATTCTGTTTGATAAATAGGTAAACAAATCTGTAAATGAAGCTGGTTTGCCGGCTATTTCAAATCTAGCTGTCCTCGTCCTCGTTCTAATATTCTTAGGTCACATAATACCTCCAACCCCAACAACAAACCCTTTTAAGGGCAGTTAATGCTTGGAATTTACTACCTCCTCACATAACTCATACAGGTAATATTCTGTTATTTAAAAAACAATTAAAGGCGCACCTCAGGCCGTTAACATCTTGGCGTTTTTCATTGCTTTGCACTCATCTTCATACTAGATTACTGATGCACTGGACAACATACATCCTAATCCTCAACTGCACTATCTGACTGTATTATTGATTATTACTATTTTTAACTGTTTGATTTACGTCATGTTCTACATGCTTTGTATGGACCCCAGGAAGCTTAGCGGCCGCTGAGGTGTCAGCTAAAGGGGATCCAGTAAACACGTACTCACGCACACGCATGCACGCTGCATCCAAAATCCCCTTTCCTCCTTTGCCGCCACTTTAATCAGTTACAGACATGTTTAATTTTTCATACCCTCCCCTGTTCCTCTCTCCCCTCCCCTCCCCTTTCCACAATCCTCTGTTCTTTTGGTCTCCTGTCTTCACATTATCGCTCCTCTGCTTCTCCTTGACCTCTAATCACTTCCGTGCTGCCTTTCTCTACCTCCTTCCTTGCCTCACCATAAGACCTCCCCTGACATCCTTCATCTGCTCTCCCTTTCCTCCAGGGCTAATTGTTGGTTGTTTATCATTTTAATACAGAGCACCTTGTGTAACAGAAGTATAAAATGGTCTGAAATGGTTGTAAAAAAGTCTGTTCTGAAGTTGTGGTGGTGAAGGTTGTGATACTTCCATAGCTCTACATTGAGCATACCTCCAACATTTTAGCACTGCCCAAATATTAATGCAATAACAATGATAATCCAGTAATTCTGTCACGGTGTGGTTCACTTCATGTTATATTTTGTAGTTTTCTGCCACTTGTGTCCCCGGGTAACTTCACTTCCTGCCTTGTCCCGTTGTCCCCTGTGATTGTCTTATAGTTTCCACCTGTGTCCAATCACCTGCACCTCCCTTGTGTATTTAAGCCGTGTGTCTCCTGTGTCACTTGTCGCGTCATTGTCTTTTGCCACGCATGTCCTGTTCTTGTCTTTCGCCCCCGTAGGTTCATGCTTGTGTGTTTTTGCCCCTTGGCCTTTTGGATTTTGGACCTTTTGAGTATTAAAGTCTTTTGTTTTGGAAAAGTCTGCGTTTGAGTCCTGCCTTCCACCAGCACCTCTTGACAGAATGACGCGACAAGTGACACAGGAGACACACGGCTTAAATACACAAGGGAGGTGCAGGTGATTGGACACAGGTGGAAACTATAAGACAATCACAGGGGACAACGGGACAAGGCAGGAAGTGAAGTTACCCGGGGACACAAGTGGCAGAAAACTACAAAATATAACATGAAGTGAACCACACCGTGACAAATTCATTCAACAGTTAAATAAATGCTATGGATTGTTTGATATTTAGAGTTCGTTTTGGTAGTAATACTAATAATCCTTTATTTTACTCATGTTAATGGGACCTATTCAACGCAAACCATTTGCATGTTACATAGAAGTTTATGTTGCTTTTACTTAAGTGATAATCAGAAGTATTAGTGTACATTCGATAGGGAGAGAAAGGCAGGAGGAAGAGAAGGAGTTGAAGAAGATTGATGCTGAAAACACACATTACACTCTCAAATATCAGTCAGACTTTATAAATGCCTGAAAAGTACACGCATTACATTAGTGTAAGAGGAGCTGAGAGACAAACGGACACTTCTGGCCTTGAAGGCGACATGATGAGTTATGTGTGTGAGAGAGAGAGAGAGAGAGAGAGCGGTAGACACTGATCACAGGTCAGAGAAGTTAGCGCCTCACACACCACCACACTGTAACAGCAGGGCTTTCATTAATTGCCGCGATTATAATTAATCACAAACACACACACACACACACACACACCTCGTCTCTCGCCCGTCCTCTGGCCTTCCCTGCTGTTTTATGGCCTCACCTGCCACGATAGAGGGGTGACAGCTACACTCAGCGAGAGGGAGGAGAGGAAATAGGCGAGGGAGGGGAGGAGAGATATGGTTTCAGAGTGGATAGGAGGAGGGGAGGGGCGGCGAAGTGAGTGTCAGTTGAAAAGTAGAGATGAAAGACAAATAGTGAAACGATTCCAGAGAAAAGGGAGCGAGAACGAGAGAGAGAGAGAGAGAGAGAGAGAGAGAGACAAAGAAATACAGCCCGAGACCAGATGTGCTCACTCTTCATGTACAGTTTGTTCAGTGGCTGCAATGTGAAAACTCCTTATGTTCATTTTTGTGTTCAACTTGTTGATCCATAACCAGTTCAATTGAACAAACATCCACCCGTTATCCACTTAATGAAAGAATCCAAAGTTGTCTACACACAAGCTGTCCTGTAGCGGGTTAGCAATGCCTGTGCTCGATCTCAGGGGACCTAGATGACATGTAGTCATATTTATAATATTTCTTTATTTATATGTGGTGAAACGGCACATTTGAAGCTACGGTTTGAAATCCCCATGTTTTACGTTTGGATGTCTTGGTTTTAGGCCGTCCACACCTTTGTTTTGTTTTCCGCCAGCAGTGACACAGGAGGTGGAGGCTAAGTTGACAAAACACTGAACAAGACATTTTAAAGGGATTCAAAATTATGCAATTATTTCATCAGTTGAACACACTCTGTGGAAGGATCTAAGTTCTAAGACAAGAAAACCAAGACCCGACAACGGCTTCGTGAGGACCTGTCAATCACGAGGTAGCCATGCCCTGAAGCAATGGTTCCCAAACTTTTTCTGTCAGGGCCCCGCTTTGAGGATAAAGCGGCATTGTAACCTGAGCGGCTCTGGGGGGGCGTGGTTAGAACACAACGCATGTCCAGTCCTCATGTCACTTTCGCTTTTTTTTGTGTGTTAGGGTCGGTGATGAAGCCGCAACCCCTCTATCAGAAGGGTACCTTTAGGTCAGTTTGCGAACCACTGCCCTAAGGTACTCTGCTTTCACGTCCATCTTACTCTAGACCTCTTTTTGCAACCAGAGGAGTCGCCCCCTGCTGTCTTTTAGGAAGAACGTAGGTTAAAGGCACGTCCTCATCAGCTTCCCTTTTTAGAACTGGAGGTTCTGCTTCCAACATAAGGTTTCTGTTTGAAGTTTCTTCTTCTTTAAGTTGTTCTCTTATTCGCCACATTAAACACAAAGCATAACTGGAAAGTTATAGAAAAAGTTCTATTTGCAAAAATAAATTTGTCAGAACTCAAAATTGGACCTGGAGACACACATTGTGACATGCAGTTTTGTGGTTAACTCCCTGATGTCACATATATTTGAGGTTAAAGGTATAATGAAAAATATAGAGGGCCACTCCAAACTACAGGAGCATAACTGCATGAAAATTACAAAATAAAAATAATTGTAGCACTTATTTGTGACTTATCTGAGACTAATTTGGCAAAAATATATTTTTGAAATGATCAGTAACTGTAATATTGCATGGCTGCTTAACCTGTAACGCGTAATGATTTTGTGTTCACTCAAAAAGTGTGATCCTTGTAGCAAAACTCCTTTCGGCTCGTCTCCTTGGCCTATGTCTTACTTTACACCTGCTTTTAAGAGGCAGAGAATTTTCACCGCAAAACAGAGGCGCGCTTGCACGGGTGGCAAAAACGTTAGTACAGGAGGCCCTGTAGTAAAAAAGTAGCACAACAAATTCCTCTAAAAAACATATACAACAACCCAGAGCTAACATCAGTCAGGAGCATGTGGGAGGAGAGGAAAAGCTGCAGCAAAGGGAACCGAGGAAAAGATCAGGAGTAGAGTCAAAGAGACAAATGCTTTGCGTTGGTTTAGTGGTTAACTTCCTCACCTCTCAAAACACATGGGCCCACAATGACCTCAGAGAAAATCCTGAGGGGGAGTTCTCTCTCTCTCATGAAAAGCCGAAAATCTAAACACAGAATCAATCTGGAGCAGATTTGAAAACCTGTTCTATTCCCTCAATGCCCGGCGAACACGAGCTGATAATTATTATTGATACGTATTTTGACAAAACTGTATCAGTAACGTGCATAGAAGTACAACTAGAGCTCTAATGTACAGTATGACGGGACACTTAGGCATCCGGAAACTATTCCATCTACGATTACAAGTAATGTGATCCTCCCAATGAGGAATGAACAATGGGGAGACGATAAGAGGGAAAGTAACAGTGACTTGATAGCTCTGTTCTTTGTTCTGCGTCTGACCTGTTTGTTGGTGGACATCCTGCTGCCTCACACACCTGGGACACATTACTCTACTTTACATGTGTGTAACAGAGAGAGAGAGAGAGAGAGAGCAAGATAAAAGGAGGAGGAGAAGGACAGATTGAGGAATTGATTGAGGGCTGTAGTTCAGTTTTAGTGAACTCTCACGTGCGTTTCCATGAGAAAGGTTGACTCGTGATGTGAGACAAACCATATGTATTGAGGCAACATCTGCTCGGTGTGCGTTTGTGCGTCTTCAAACCAACAGCCTCCGGGCCCTTGCGTAACAAAAGGAACAGATGAAGCGTCCTCAATGACACCATGCTAACCTCCGTCCCTGTTTTTTTTACCTCATTCCTTTTGTACTCCTGAACCTGAAGGCATTCCAACCCCTTTTTTAAAATTCTCTAACTTTGTGTAACTGAGAATATCATTTCCTGCAGCTCTACTTAACTGTCTCCTATATATCCTGACATTAAAGCTGTTCAAAGAAAAGCCTGTGAACAATGTCCCGTAGGACCAAGTAACATTGGGACCAAATCCCCTGGATGTCTGCTCCGATCCGTTTATCCAGGAATCAGGTCATTCTCGTGCTGCCCTGTCTGCCTGTAACCTGTCGGTGTGCTTGCAGGTATTGGAGGTAGTTTGATGCCGAGGTTCATCGGCAGAGTGGAAACATCTGATCTCATCAGCAACACTGTCAACGCCAGCGGGCCCCGTTTCCAGCGTCTCGATTGAAATCCCCTCTTTGAGTCTCTCTCTCTCTTTCCTCCCTGAAACGCTGCTTTGGTGTTTTGTGAACGTGGTGGTTTGTCCTACAACATTGCATGCGTTCTGACTCCACAAGCCAATATTAGTTCACCTCTTTTGTTGCCTTTAAGTTATTACAGCATTGTTGTTCATTTCCTTGGCTGTTTGTCCTCGCGGTTGTCATGGCTGTGCAGCTTGGTTTGTGATATAAACAAATTTCAAATTAAATGTCTCCAGTCTTGCAGTGTTTGATACAGGTTAAGTGTTTTATTTTGGATGCTTGCAATTGGACAATATTTAGTATCACGTTGGCTTCTGTCTACATTTCTAAAATTGAGGTATAGTGTTTTGTTTACCAAGACTCTTATTTTCATACAAGCAGTCCAGACTAGTGGAGTTAAAATGACGTGTTACCTATTTGATGCCATTTCCTTTTACTACAAAAACCGAAACGCAGTGGCAGCTATGGTTGGAGAGAGACTAAAACATCTGGAGAAGTCCTACTCTATTAATTGGACAGCTGCAGTAGGAATCGGCTAAATACATATTTGGACTTGACGATGGATGATGATAAGAACTCATGAGATCACAACATTTAGGAAAATCCATCCTGAGGGGAACATGAACATCTGTATTAGCTGTTTCAGTCCAGAGCAAAGTGGTGAACAAAACTGAATCGCATTGTAATCCCTCTGGCCAAGAGCGGGACTCAAATGTTTATAAACTCTCTCTATAGTTGGTTAGAAGTTGTTGTTGGGATCTATCATTTAACTCCTTTAACAATAATGTTACTCGAACAAATGTAGAATGCATAATAGAGAAGGAGGAACATTAGTTAGTCAATAATACAATAATTTAGTGGACTGTGCTCGTTGTATATTGCTCCCAAAGTGCATAATGAATTTTCACAAACTCACCAGCCTTAAATATCTCCTGCACATCCTGTTAACAAATACACACACCAGGGAGCATTAAACAGTGAGGGATATCCCCCGCTTCATATTTCATTACTTTGATTAATCTTTGGAAATTAGGGCTGAGGACTGGGATACTTGCTTTTTTCTTCTAATTTATTTGTGTTGGCCGGCTACAAATTGGGCTGCGTCCACTTTCAACAGACTGTAAAAACGGTAAGAAAATAATGACTGCAATTCAAAAGGAGCAAGAAGAGACACTGCGTGTCTGTGCAGTATCAGCCTGTCTGAGGGGGGAAATTGTGGCAGCTTCGCAGGGACTGTTGGTGGACGGTGGTTACAGCACAGTGCCACGCTGCTATTCACACATGTACAAAAGCAAGACACAAAGCCAAGGCAATAAAATGCAGAAGTAGAAAATATTTTCTCAATTTCGCTCTGTTGTTGTTGTTGAAATCTAAATATTAGGAACAGAAACAAAGGAAGGGAGAGAGGGAAGGAAGGGATATAGCGATATGTTTGGGTAAGGTCAAAGGCGCTGTGTGTGTGTGTGTGTGAGTTTGCTCAGTGCGGTATCCACTGAAACGGTCTGTTGGTGGGAGCTCTCGAGGGGGGGGGGGGGGCGAGCTCTGTTGCTCATATTAGCCCCAACTGACCTCCATCGCCACACGCGCTGCCCATATACACGCTGCACAGACTATATCGCTCTCACGTCTGCCTCTTTTCTTTGCCTCCAACTGAGTATTTGTGGAAAAGCCTGGAAGCGTTACAAGAAATGACAAGAAATGAGGTGTGCTTTCAGCCCGGATCAAGCATTTAGGTCTGAACCACGAATGGAGAGTTCAGAAAGCACATCAATAAGAAACCAGACAGAATCTTTCAACAAGTCATTAATATTGAGCAAGGTCAGTAAGTAAAACGTCATGGTGGACAGATATTTCACAGACATTGTTTTGGCTGCAGATTACACAGCATCATCCTTCAGTCCATAAAATACTTTCTGGTACATTATTTGTTTAGTAATGGCAATTTTCTTATTCAGTCTAATGATCCTTTTTCTTTTTTTACAATAATCTATTTTCGTCTTGTAGTCTTTCTGAATTAAAACATGATGACCTGCAAGAAACTATGAAGTGCAGGTTGTGTCTTATTCCAAATCTTTGGACAGCGTTGTGAAACACCAGCAGAAACGTCCAGGAAGCTGCAACACGACCTGCAGCTGAGACGGGCAGCTAAATATACAGCGCATGGAAACTTCTCTTGAATCAAACAATGAAATAACACATGCACACACAGACATACACATGGTGAAGCCTCCTGGCAGGCAGTGCTAAGTGCATAAACAGGGGATTATTTTTGCTCCAGGTTGGATGGATGATGAGGATATAAAAGGGAGATGTTATTTAAACTTAAAACAACAGAAGACGTGTGGCAGAGAGTTAAGATTGCAAAGAAAGACTCTTTCTCCCTCGGAGTTGGAGAGGGACCCGTCAGGTGTGTTCAGGTTTTCTCGTTGTCTGCTAGCATACTTATGGCTACTTACTACGGTCAAAAAAATCAAGAACGCCTTTTCAGGGTTGCTCCTTTTTAGTGAATCAGTCAGCATGATTCTTTGCGGAGACTCAGTTTTCTGTCGATCAACTAACCGATTAGTTGACAATGAATGTCTTCAGTTGAGGACGGTATTGGACCCGTGATCGGGACAACTACACATGTAGATGGAAATGTAGTACAAAGATGCCTATCTATAATATAAACATAACATGGAGGTTTATGGTTTTGGCCCGTCTGGTCTTTCCTCCTACATTGAGGAATTGGTTTTAGGGTTACGACTGGTTTAAGAACAGGGTTACGGGACAGAGATGTTTCTTTTTGAGTACGCCTTCAGGAAATTGAATGAACGTCAGTAAAATATATTTAAGAGTAAAGTTGTGCAAGCGTGTGTGCATGAGTATTTACCTGCGCGCAGCGTCTGTGGTTTTCACACCAAACCAGAACTTGGTCACTCTGTAAAGACAGAAAGAGAAATAAACAGAGTGAAATAAACCTTTACCAGAGAAGCCTTGTGTTTACCACATTGTGCCCACATTTGACCCATTTGTGCAAAGGCTCCATCTAACATACCAAGAGACAGAAAGCTAAATATTGTTAATAAAAAGGTCAGCATAACCAGAGTAAACCTGAACGAAAGACAGTCAACCTTTCCCATTTACTAAATTATCCTGTGGGCACGAAATGACTTAAGACACTGGGTGTGTGGTTGCTGCACCAGGCAAAGGCCACGTCAAATGGTGAGATGTATTTTCATGTGTGTGTGTGTCTGCACAGTTACTGCTAAGTGAGTCAAGACCACCAGTAAACACTGCTACTCTGACCACCGTGACATGGAGTGATGTCATCTCATGACCACGGGGGCAAAAATACAGAACAATCAAACCGATTCCTCGTCCTCAGGTCCCTTCCACATTTATAAATGGACGTTCAAACCAAACAAAACACCTTTAAAGAAAAACTAATCCACACTTGGAATTGAATGCAAAGGACCGCACAAATCTGTGAGGTGTGCAAACACGCATCCTTTATCCTGTATCCTACAACAAGGCTTCCATTTGCTTGTTTGTTTGAAATCAAAGTAAAGAAGTTAAACATGTTCATATATAAAGTAAAGCACAAACAATACTTGTTTTGACAATATCTATTTAACTATATACACACATATATAGTTAAATAGATATCAACTTAAACAACCAATTAGCAAATTGTTTTGTGATTTATTAGCTCTAATCATTGCTTCCCATGAAGTGATTTGGTTTGATTTACGTTCAACCCTTTTTACTTAAATGGTTTGGATGAGGATGGAAACCCTGTCAGCTGTTTTTAGGAGAGTGAGCCAGTGTGGCTCAACGGCTTCTCTTTGTTTCGTCATCCTCAGCACAATCATGATGTCATCATTCAACATCGAAACAACTATTACAATACTGGTGTGTGTGCAGTTGTGTACTGTCTATTGTCATGTGCGTGCCTGCAGGGATTGTAGGAGTCCCCAGTGTGTGTGTGTGTGTGTGATAAGCCTTCTTAACGACTCTCTAAGCCTTTCCTGAGCGGGCTGTGTTTAGCCTAAACCAAGCTCATCTCTTTCCACACACACACACACACACACACCTCTCAGGGATTCTGCTCTTTTAAGTAGCCTTTGTGCTTCTGGCGTAGTGAGGGTGAAGGGGTTAGAGTTGGGGTAAAAGAGCAGAGGTTAAGGGTTAGAGATTAGGGGTTAAGGGCTTTAGCGGAACAGAAGATGTGGATTTAACTCACTTCACTTGCACCATTGAAAACAGATACTAACTATTAGTGAATACTTTGTGAAATAACTGCTAAAAAGAAGCTAAATCTGACTTTGATGTATGACAATGAGGAGTTATTCCCCTTATAAGCTCTGTGAAGATGCTGCATGAGGCAGTCTAAAGAATTCACTGTCACTACGACAGCCAAGGATTTTAAATGAAGTGATTGTAAGATTACTGTTGTGGAGAAATTGTATCAGACATGAAGAACGGCATCATTTGTTCATTGTCATGGTTCGGCATTTTGAGAGGCTTCAGAGTCACAAGCATGCGTTATCCATTGTTTTTCCTCTGCGTTGTTATATTAATTGTTTATTTTATTACATGGGATGCACTCTATATAGCTCAGCAATATAGAATGTCACTTCAAGTTTGGGGTATTTTTTGTCAGATTTGTGTTGTAATAATTTACTAATTATGAGTAAAAACAACTATGACTCATCATGCAATTATTTTATTCATCCAAGTGACGTTTCCCACATCAGATACAGTGAAATAAGTTCTGGCCGGATGTCTTTTTTTCTGACTGTGAGACGGGGAGGGCTCCCACAATCCGACTGACTAACCATTAGTCACGCCTGATTTCTACAGAGACTGGCCATTGAGAAAAATGTGTTAAAATGGTCAGAGCTCCAAGTTCTCTACAAATCACGTTTGCCTCATTCCTCTCCTGCTCTCACCCTTGGCCACTGCTGCAGCTGCGTAACATTGCCTCGGTCGGCCAGCTGTTGGCGGCAGTGACCAGGTGGTCAGAAAGTTTTCACAGAGACCTCAGGACCTCAGAGTGCAACCAAAAATCAGACAACAACGTTTAAAATGGTTTGCACCTTTTAAAAAGCACAAGCAGAAATTCTGTCTGTGAAACATAATTTGTTTGCATAGTGTATAAGTGTATTTCTTGCCCGTGCCAGTATGTCTTTAACACCCTTGGTTTAACAGTAATCTGTTCAAACGGGATAATACTGGGACTGCTGCTTAACAAGCCTCCCTGGATATGGAGGGGGGAGAATGAGAAAGCAGTAAGGCATAAAACGAATGGTTAAATCTCTGATGAATATATTAGTAACACGTCTGTGGGGAGGGCAGGATGGAAGGAGAGACGGATGAAAGGAGAAACACAGGACCGGCTGTCATGGTGTCACTACAGAGACAGAAACACCTTTCTCCTCTGCCAACATTTTCCCTCTTTCCTCCTCTCTTCAAAGCGCTTTTTGACTACGCAAAACTGACGCCGCCAGGGAGCTACATGATACATAAAGACGGACCACGTTGCCAAGGATACGGCTCTTATAGTAGCAGTTTATATCCCACTACCGGCATCTCCAGAGGTCTGCCAACTTCTCTAAAAATGACAGGAGGGGACAAAAAAAATGGTGACAATGACATAATGTTAGATGCTTGACTGAAAGACCTGAGAGGACAGTTAAACATCTCCAGACTTTCACTTGGGAGATATAAAGCTGCTGCCCCCGCTGCTGGCCTCACATCTTCATCCCCGATCTTAATCTTTTTATACGCTCCCTTTCTTTTTCTGTCTTCCCTGCCATAACATCCCCCTGTTTCTGTCACTCCACCTCAGAACCCTCGGCAACACCCGCGTTAGTGCGCGTACACGCGGATTAACGCATATGCTCACTGATCCCAAGTCAATTTCATGGGACATATTTGCTGTCAGAGCCAATCAAGGCCGTTTTGATGTGTGCCGTATGGCTGTTAAATAGTGGTCAGAGTGAAGTTTTGTTGATTCTCACTGTGTGTGTGTGTGTGGCAAAACAGCTGCACATGTTGAGGAAAGGTTGAGACAAAGTTGGGGGAGAAAAGGGAGGATCGGATCGAGGCGAGAGGGAAAAGAGAAGAGAAGTTGGATCTGGGAGACGGAGAGGAAATGGGAGCGAGGGAGGAAGTTGAGGGGAGAGACGATAAGTGGAAATAAATATTAGTTAATAGGAACAGAAAGGAGACTGGCTGGGAATGACACACACTACTTGAGAAGCAGGATGCAATAAATTCCGCTGAAATCTCTTCATCTGGCTGTGGTTGTTTTATTATTAGGTAGCCAACTTTTAAAACTTTATTTTCATCCACAGTCGAAGATATTTTTAAACTGCATGTATGTAGCACCATACTGATTATGGTTATGCTTAAAGACGTGTGTGAGGTATTTAACTACAAAAAAGTGTTTCTTGATTAGATATATTAAAACCAGTTCAAGAGATTTTGTGCAATTTGTAAAGCAAACGGCAGGAAACAAGCCTTGCATGAAAAATAAATCGAGTTTCAATCCATCCCGTTTTATGATCTACGGTATGACAGAGCAAAAACGTGCTAAAATACGGTTTCATTTTCATGATCGATTTCCACATGGCTGGATTTCACAACACAAAAAACTCTCTCTCTCTCTCTCTCTCTCCATCCTGAAAATGTGTCTGAGTCTCTGACACGAGAGACGTCAAGAACCAGAACCAGAACCAGTCCAGGGAGGAAGAAACACTCGCACCAAAGGACTTCCACATGCTCTGAGGACTGCTGCGTCCAAGGTGATCATTGTTTAAGAATAACACTCTGACCGCACTGGACGCAACAGCAGCAAAGAAGCAGGGACACACACACACACACAACGTGCGCAAGGCCGACATGCACACGCACAGCTGCACACACCCTTCAGTGTTTGAAAGAGAGTGAGATATAAATCCCACTTCTGCCAGATGCAGTGATAAAAAGTGACTGTGTGTTTGTGTGCGTGTGAGACGAAGGCAGAGTGTGTGTAGATACTATGTGTGTGTGTGTGTGTGTGTGTGTGTGTGTGCGTGTTGTGGTCAGTGTTTGCGGTGAGGCGCAGTAGAGAGTCTATTCAACACGAGGCATTAACTCTGCTAATCACACCCAGATGACCCAGAAGAAATCACAGCCACGCTGTGTGTGTGTGTGTGTGTGTGTGTGTGTGTGTGTGTGTGTGTTTGTGTGTTTGTTTGTGCGAGTGTGAGTGGCTAATGTATCCTGACTAACTTCCACAAAACAGAATATGAAGTTCTTCCGAAAAAAGCTCATGTTGAGGTCTGAGCATTCCCGACAGAAGAGAACACCCATCTGTGTGTGTATGTGTGTGTGTAAGTGTGTGCGCGTGCGTGTGTTTCTGTGCAAGTGTGTCAACCGCAGTGTTTGTGGTGCCCCACATCCTGTAAACAACTAGAGTCACAACAAAGTGGTTGTTACTCGGTCCTGAATGTTGCCTCGTTCGTCCCACAGCAGCGACAGTAAAACACCATCAATAAAAATAATCAAACTCAAAACGATCAAGACGTTATCAGAAAAGGTTTCCCATATTGGGAAATAAGCTTATTTGCTTCCTTGCTGCGAGTTAGATGAGAAGACTAACACCACTCGCAGGCTTTCACCTGGAACTCCGATGGAGACGAGGAAGAAGAGGCGGGTGAAAGGGTCATAAAAACACAGGACCTTCACCCAGAAGACCATCGTTTGTGTCCCCCTGAAACCAAAAGTCGACACAAGTATTTACTGTACATACAACCGTACTCATTTTAACCCAATCTGCGACGAAGGGTCCTCGAGTGAAGTCGGGAAAGGAGAACTTTGCTGTTTAACCTGCCGGCTGCAAGTACGAGAGTGGACGCCACTGGGACCGGTCGGGTTTTATTGCTCAAGTATCGGATGAAATATGCTGTCAAGGTTTTTATGAGGTAAAAGAACAAGGTAAAGAACAAAGCCAGCCAGATGCGATGCGATGCCGTTCCAGCTGCAATTTACTGTCTTGGAATGTGCTGGTTTCAGGTGAGTTGCTCCTACAATGCCACGTCTTTATCAGCATCTCGCGCTGCCTCCGCTGATCGAATGACAGCGCAGTCCCGAAGCCGCAGAAAGAGGCAGATGCTTTATCTCTGAGGTGAATCAAACGGGCCTTTTGTCCCCCTCCTGTCTACTGCCTGTCTCTCTGCTTACCTGTCTGCCTGCACGGCAGTCTTTAACCAGGGCATTGGCTCGTCAGGTCGTCTGTCTGCCTGTATGTTAGCTACACCTGTCTGTGTGCTTCTACCAGCCATGTTCTCCTGTCACGTCTTTTTATACCCCCCCCCATCCCCGTCCCCCCCCGTCTGTCTTCGTGCTTGACCGCGTCGGTCTACCTGAACTTATCTCCCCGTCTGTCCCGCTGTGAAACCTGACCTGACCCTTGTCTCTGGTCTTTTCCAGAGCGTGACTGGTTGGGTGACCGGCTCCTGGATAGATTAGAGTTACCTACCGCAGAGCAGCTGGGAGAAACACACACACAGACACACACACACACGCACAAGTATAAATGCACAAGCACTTCATTCAGCCTCACACTGGCCACCAGCCCTGGCTGGGAACGCTAACCGGTTCCTCAGCACCACGGACCTGTGAGTGTTTGAGACAAACCGACTGATTTGAGCCACTATGCATGTGCAAAAATCCAGATCCAGCTCTGCGGGCAAGGCTGCACTTTTTTTTCTTATTATTTTTAGGAGTTTACATCAAGGAGGAATTTGGGACTATGACAATATACCAGCAAATATATACTCACACACACACACATACACGGAAGGAGCTATAGTTACACTATTACACCATACGAGGGGAAGTAGTGGAAAACCCAGAGAAGAGGCAGAAAAAGAGGTGTAAATAGAAAAGTGGTGACTCGCATTCTTGTGGCTACACACTGGCCACATACACACAAACACACACAGTGAGAGAGAGTTAGAGCCCAAAACACCGGGTTCAGCCACATGAACCCAGAGGAAGCAATGCATGTGTTTGTGTCTTAGTGTCTGAGCGTGGTGGTGGATGAGTAAAGCTCTATTTGCCGTCACTGGTGTTATAGTTACTGGAGCTGTTGTCCAAAAAAGCCATTATTGTGTTTTTAAATGTTATGTAGCTTAAATGAATGAACACACAGCCTCTCCCACCCATAAATCGCTGTGTTCTGCTACACTGTCCTATAATATTTGATTCCCCCGGACGTGGCTCAGAGGAAACTTGTTTTTACTCAAAGTTTAAGCGGCTCTTTTTAATTTGGTAAAAACATAAAAAATTCTCAGTTCTCCTTCATATCCTAGAGTGAGTTTTCTAAATCGCAGAGCAACATTGTCCTTTCTTGTTTGTTACTGTCCCGCTGGTCATTTACAACGTCAGTGCCAAATGCTTATTATTTTATACGTTTAAATTAGCACTGCAACTAAAGCTTTCTTTCACTACTCAGTTTGACTATTCATTTCCTAATTCAATTTAACTTCAATGAGACGACTGGAAATGTCTCATATAGTCCATTTTGTCAAACCACTCAAGATTATAGTTTGTAATAATATTTTGGTAATTACCTCAGTGTCCTAGTCTAAACCCTTCCTGGGAGAAATAATGCCAGGAGGATGACAGAAATAAACTCAAATAAGAAATGATGGAGTTCCACAATATACAATGTTTTTAACGTGTTTGCAATGTCAACTTGTCAACAGTCTGCAGCAGATTGAATGAAATTCCGTCAGGAGACGCAATTTTTTTTCGACCTGCCCCATGCTGTCAACTCTGACAAATCAGACAAACTTCACAGATATCATGAGTATTAAGTTATCCCCCACATCTGCGTAACCTTCATCATCAGGGGCATCATGCGCTTTGCAAACATCTGCATGCCGCCAGTTTATCTGGACTGCGAGGCCGATACACCACGAGCTCCACTAACTGCAAATGCACTGGAAAACCCAAATGGATGCTGACGTTGAATTGAGGATGAGTGAAGAGGTTCAGACTGGCTATCCACATTCAGAATACATCACTAAAACAATATTAAGACGATTAAATGAGCGATAGTTCGTGGAGGGAATTTCCCAGGATTTGGGATACGAATGTGAACACATTCTTCAAAGCAGACACATCATGTAGCCCCTAAATGCAACATTACTTTTACATTTGAAACCGAAGTAGAAACTTCCTTTCTGGCCTGTTTGCTAACTCCCAATCCGTTGGTTGGTTGCCGTTTTGATGCTCAACATCGGTCTCCTGCACTTCACTTCCTAAAGTTTAAATGAAATAGTTCCTCTCTCACACCTCCATTCCAGAAAACCCACCACATATATACAGACACATGCACACACACACACACACACACGCATTTCCCTTTAGAGTCATCCAGGGGCCACCCTCATTACCAGATGCACAGGTGCCGTGGGCCCATTCTGGATGGTTGGGGACCAGACCAAACTTTATATACATGAACATATGCACACACACACACACACACACACACACACACACACACACATAAATAGACACACTTTCTTCTACACACCTCAGAGCAACTGGGGCTGAACCCTGTGGTTAATGACTTTCCCACCCACTACACAGCATGCACATGCTGAAGCCGTTAACAATAAGTGGCTTTTCAAAGTTAGTAACGTCCTAATGTCCCCGTTAATCACATTCCTCACTACAAAGGCCACAGAACACGGGCCAGCGATTTCACTGGGATGAGTAATCTTGTCAATTTCGCCAGCCGTCTGAGGACTAACACGGGGCAACTTCAATCTGAGCAATATGCAAAGATTTGTTCAAATGTTGTTTTAGGTGAAATCCCGAAGTCTCCTTTGTGCTTGTTCTCTTGTGAATAGCAACACCTCAAAGTCGATTTGCGAGGCCGTTCATTCTGTAACGACCCTTATAAAGGAAAGAAATTTTGAGGATGGACAAAAAATTGTAACGACTACATAATGGGTCAGAGATGAAGCGATATCAGTGGAGCCTTTTTAATTAATCAAACCAAATAAATATGACTAATGTGCTGTTTGAATAATGTGTTAACGTGCAATTTGAATGTAATGTTAATGTCTGTGGCAAAATGCATCACAAATGTAGCCACTTATGCACTGTTGCTTCTGTTTCACTGTGGTCTCGTGTCAGTGGAATATATAAGACAGCATTTGTATTCTTCTTTGATATCTTTTATGTCAATTTGACACTTGACTGCCCTTGATTGATTGAAAGTGCTCGTTCCTGAACCCACACCTCTTAGTTTGACCCTTCAATATCCCCGTGTAATATTTTAGGGGGAAAGGATAGTCTGAATATTAAAGCAGATCTATTATTTAAAACTATAAAATAGGATTACTCAAGATGAAGCAAACAATAGCAAACAGTGTTCAAAGTAACAACGAATGCAGCGATAGCAAATGACCTGTAATAACATCCGAAAGGCACCTGAAGAAACTGTTTAGGGTAATTATTGTCTACTCGCTTTCAAGCTAACTAAAGTAAACGACTCGGGTTCCAGTGACAAGAATCCGGAATCCCCAGTATATATTTTTTCCCCCGTTAAAATTTGTTTAAGTAAGGTTACAGTGTTCGGAGAAGAGGTACCTGTAGGTGTTTGAAGGCAGCCCTCAGCTGGGTCACGTGCAGGCTGAGGCACCTGGACGTGCACCTCGCGCTGTTCTCCTGGACGTCCTCGTGCTCCGGTGAAGTCAGCGCCAGCCCCGCGCACAGGAGCACCAAAGCGGCCCGACGGACTGACATGACACCGAGGAAAAGGAGGGGGGGGGGGCGGAGAAAAGAACCGAGTCGAACACGGCAGACGTTTGCTTCCCCGCGTCCCGGCAAGTTAACGTCGTGCTCTCGGCGGAGCGGAGCGGCTGTCCCCCGCTCGCGCGGACACTCCCACCACGCGGAGTTATGTGGTTCTTTTCTTCTCTTTTTTTAACCGTCTTTATTCTCACGCTGACAGCCTCTTGGAGTTCACTCACTTCCTCCTCCGATCAGTCTTTCGACTATAATCTTTGTCCCTCAAACCACCACACTTATGAACGCAGCTCAATAATGATGACCATCTTTAGATTCACAAGTCAACGTTAACCTCTCTCTCTCTCTCTCTCTCTCTCTCTCTCTCTCTCTCTCTCTCTCTCTCTCTCTCTCTCTCTCTCTCTCTCTCTCTCTCGAGCCACTACCTGATGTTTACAGTATCATTATCCTGGATCCCAACATTATTCTCGAGGCCATCAAGCGTCACTGTCACCTTCATCGTCGTCATCATCATCATCATCATCACAGGCGCACATCTGTTTGGCGCACATTTTGTTTGTACCGGCTTATTGTCACATTTTCATGACTTGACTGAATACTTTTTTTGTTTGCTTTATCTTCCACTTTTCATAATGATTAGTTATCTCCACCTCTCGTCCTCTTTATAATCATCCCCATCTTGACCGACCTGCATACCTCCTATTTTAAGTCAACATCATATTTTCTCTTGTTGCACTGATGCTCAGGGAATTATGCATCATCATGTTCGTTTTTCTATATAGTTTCCATTTTTTTAATTAAACATCACCTCCAACACAAAGTTGATTTGAATATCTTCTTTAACATTATCGAGGTAATCGTCATGCCGTGATTATTTCCATCCTCGCTTTCACCTTCATCATTTCCTCCCTTTATCATCCTCTAATTCATCATCATACAAACAATGCTCTTTATTTACGCCATCAACATCCTCTCCAAAAAAGAACAACTATTCACTAAGTGAAATCGAAGGAACACTTGGTTGAAAACGTAAAAGCTGCTACTAATAGATTTAACATGAGGAGATGCAGAGCAGTGAAGGAGCTGCATGACAGGCTTCTGTTTCGGGCTTCTGTTTCGGGCCTATTAACACTTGTACACAGAATTACTATTCTGAACGACACAAATTCCCCTTTAAAGTCTGGGAATTAACTCTGGTAATTATTGGAACGGACTAATTACAGAGCATTTATTCATAGCAGAAGGACCTGAGGCATGTGTTGAGGTTGGTGTCTGTCACGGAGCCAGTAACTTTTCAACAGACACGGTAGAGCCAAGTGGGGTTTATTAGATCCAGGGCCAAGTCAAGATGTTTAGGACAAAATGGTTTACAGCCGTATTTGTTTACAAAAACTCGTAACACAGCAGAGGCGTCATCTTTTTTGGCCACGAGATGTAGAAAGAATCACCTACGTTTTTGATTTAGGGGAAATGGAAAGGCATAAATATTGAGTACGTATACTGGCAGGACTTTTCTTGGCCCTGCAGTGTGGGGGTATCTTGCATGAACCCTTCATCATGTGTCATCAGGGTTATGAACAATGTTAATATTTCCCCTCAGATTCAATTGAAGGACTTCTACAGGCCTTGGCCAAGATTTAAGGGAAGACAAGTCTTACACACATACCTACTGTTTCTCTCGTTTCCCCCGTCTCTCACACATGCATACAAACATTCACAAACAGTATTTGCCGGTTACTTAAGAAATAAATAATATTTTCATAAAGCACCCTCCTCATTTGTGAATAAACTAATAGCGAAGCAAAGACCCTTTCCCGACACCCCAAAATATATTCATACTTCACACAGACACACACACGCAAATGACAGAAGCATTGAACTTCTGTCCAAAAATTTGAATAAAGAGAATGAAGGAACAGAGAAACAACAAACAAGCAAACAAAGACAGGGAGACACATGTGACAGAATCTCAGCTCTAAATCCGTCAGTAGAAATTTGTGAAGTGTCTTTTCATGTTAACAGAGAAGCTTGAGTTCCATGATTTGCAAAAATAAGGGAAGCTTCACTACCGAATGTTACCTTCTGATGATGACATCTTGTTAACCAGTTTGTTTGACATCAGAATTCTGGACCTTCTTCACAGCGCACCACATAAACACATCTTATCACAACTAAACCCAGCGGATTTATGAACTACCAAACAGACAAGCTGCTTCTAATCTTCAAACACAACCGTTTTGTGTGTTTAACATGTCACTGAGCTAATCCAAACTACTGAAACGCATTCAACTGCTTCTGTCACCATCGGTACATGTTATTATTATTCCTGTCAGAGATTATTGAAGTTGTCCGTCATTATTGCGTGCAGCTGGTAACACTCGCTGTTCATCTGTTAGTCCTCTGATCTCCGTCTTCATCAGAGCTGTCTCTCAAACCATGGTCCTGGGACCCAAAGGTGGCTCATTGTGAATGCTTATTATGGCTCATTGTGGTGTGCATATCATGAGTAAAGGAGGGCAGTGTTTCTGTACGGAGTAGCAGTGTCACTCTGTGGCATATCGCTGCAATTGTTGTTTCAATATGCGTTTCATAAAGGACCATACTGTATAAATCTGATGTTTCAGAGAGTGTACCTAAAGTATTGCATCAATGAAAATGATACTTACATCAAGCATTACAGAAATGACAAAGTATTTCTTGTTAATAGATAAAAGGTTTATATTGTGTTAAAAAGGCAGTTCAACTCTTAAATTCGCAAATTTCCTGCACGTCTTACTCACTTATTAATCCAAAGGATACGATGTGAACTCCAGGGTAACGTGGTGAGTGGGAAACTATTTGTTGAACCGCTGAACAGACTTAAACTGTTTTGTAATCGCGGTGAAAGGAATGTTTGTGTGAGGAAGACCAGATAAGCCACTCAGTCACAATACTGACTCCTGACTGACCTTGCACAGTCTACTCCCCGTCCATGACTGCATTTGTCTTGAAAGCACTCGCATACTTGTATAATGTGGGAATCGTTCACCATATTACAGCGATTCCTTGTTTCTCACCGCGGGTTGCGGGAGCGCGCATCGCTCCTCCTGTCCAGTCTGCGGCGGTAACGTAGCAACCAGAAGAAGAAGTAGTCGTAGAAGAAGAAAGATGCGGAAGCGCTGCTGTTGTTGGAAGTGAAACTGTCCGATTAGATTTACCTTAATTATGTTAATTTAACGTGTATGGCGGTGTGCGAGGCAGGTATTCCCGATAGAAGGGTTGTATGCTGCGTGTAAATATAAATTCGTGTGCCGGAACGTTTCAAACGCCAAAGAAGACAATTTGCAAGCAGGTGTGTGTTCATTTTTCCTCAGTGAGTCAAACTAGCCTTGTTATATTTACGATAACATTCATTTAGACGTGGGTTTTTGTGTGTGTTGTGAATGTCACAACAGCCAGCTCCAAACCTCTATACTGCTAACCGTTTTACAGTTTTACAATAAATATGAGTACATTTGACCCAAACTTAAATTGTAGTTAAGCAAGTTATGTTTGTGTAACTACACAGTGTTAGCTGCAGTCTGTCTCTTCTGTGGCGTCAACTGGTAACGTTAAGTCAATTAAATCAATTCAAACTAGTTACCTAAGTTATTTAACGTTACGCAGCATCTAATCCTTTTCAAAAAATACATTCACAGGAAAATGTCAAAAAAATCCAAGAAGCGAAAGCGCAGGAAGTCGTCATCCTCAAGCGAAGAAGTTGATGAGGTAAGAAAGTAAAAAATCCTCTGTTGCAATGCGTGTAATGTTATGTTATGCTGTGACATAACGTTAGCTGTTTGCATACATTGTTGAAACCCCCTTGAACGATTGTTAATGGAGGAAGTAACCAGCCGGGAATAGTTCTCTATGGCTGGTCCATAACAACTATTCCCGAAGTGCTTCGTCAAATTAATGGCAATAAAGTAAACGAGCGGAAAATTGACCGATGGCTATCACAATTTAGATCGGATGACAAAAACTTGAACTCGTTGCAGAAGGTGTGAAAGTAAAAAAAAAAAAAAGATTTCAATAATTAGAATTTTTTGTATGTTTATTGTTTTCAACCATGCAAGGAAGAAGATGTTACTAAGAATTACAAAAGTGAGAAGACGAAGCAAGATGTAAACAGTCAGGAGAGGTTAGTTACAGTATACTTCACTTTTAACAAATGTTGCGATTGTGGTTAAAACTATTATAGCTCTTTATTTTCTGTCAATATGATATCTTCTTTTGTTCTTCAACTTCAGAAGTCTGGCAGCAAAGCAAGAAAAGTGTGAAAAGTCGACGTGCAAGAAGTCACCAACTTTGAGGAAAGGAAATGTGAAGGCAAGAAGGTCTTCAATAGTGTTTTGTTACTATGGGCGGTCTATATGAATAAATAATTGTTTTGCATGTAATTGAATGTCACAAAATAATTACATATTCTGATATAATATCCACATACATTTGTGGAAAAAAAATGTTGTTTCTGGATAGCTGATTCTGGACAAATCAAAGTCAAATTTCTTTCCCCATGTTTTCAGCCATCCAATGAAGAAGATGTTACTAAAAATGCCAGAAGTGGAAAGAAAAAGCAAGACAGCAACAGTCGGGAGAGGTTTGATACAGTATACTGAACTTTTAACAACAAAGTCATCTTGATATTATCTAGTTGAATACCATTTGCTTAATTAATTGCTTTTTCTTGTCTCTGAATGACATTTCTTCTGTTCTTCTGCAAGGAGTTGTGGAGCAAAAGAAGAAGATTCTACTTCAAGTACCGTCAAAGATGCTTCCCGAAGCACCCGCCACATAAAAAGACCTGTCTACAGACTATCAAAAACACAAACAACAGACCTGAAACCTGTTGATCAGCAAGAAGAACGCTCAAAACCAAAAAGTGAAATTTTGAGTAAAGATAAAACGTTAAGTACGCGTAAGACTACGGAGAGGAAAAGCTTGAAACCATCAAGTAATGCAAGTAGACTTCCTCAGAGGACAGAGAAGACATCTAAAGGCACGACAGATTCCAAATCCTCCCAGAGTAGCACATCCACATTAAAAAAGCAGCGAATGAGTCCCAGTTTGGTTTCTGCTGAACAGATAGAAGAGAGGCAGGACGCACTGAAGGCAAAGTGCAAAGCTGAGGAACCAAAGAGGACTGCAAATGAAAGCAACACGATCAAGACCAGAGAACCATGCAAGGCCTCCTCTGTCACGCAGGATTCTTCATGGGAGAAGAGCAGAGACACTTTTAAGAAAATGTGCCAAAAGCATCAAGAAAATAAGGCCCAAAAGAGCCTATGTACAGAAGCAAAAACCTCATCTGTCTCTACTGCAAAGCATTCCTCCACTTCATTCAAGCAGACTACCTCAGTTAGTAGCTCAAACGTGGTGGTCGGAAAAATCCCAGGGAAGCTCACATCGATGTCATGGAAGCCAGTCGAGTCATCATCTGTTAAGCAACAAAAAGGATGTCATGCATCTCCTCTGCCTTTTCAGTTTAAGATTTTAAAAAAGGTTCCACCAAGAACTAGCACCAGTAACAACGATGGCGATAGTTCTTCTCACGGGAAACTCAAACACGGAACTGAGCGTTCAGACTCATCATCCGGCAGTAATGCCGTGCAGGAAACTGTCCATCAAACTCACAACTCTTTGGATGTTACACCTAGTTCCTCCTCTGAAGGACAAGATAAGGGGTTGTTTTCGCTAGACCGACTCCCACCTAAGCTTCAATCAGACCCTGAGCCGCGGGTCAACCAGGTAATAAAACACATCATTCATTTAATCTGAAAAAAATTCAAATTTTATACTATTCTAAAGGAAGCATTCTGTCAGCTAGTATATTGAAATTACATCCGTATTATGTTGTTAAAACATTTTCAAACGGTCGGTATATTTCTGGGTTTTCCAAAAATGTGTTTTTCTGCAGATGCTGGTGGTTGAAGAGCTTCACCTCGCCCGCTCCGAGAGGCGGTTGGAGCTGGACATAATGCAGAGCTATGGGGAACTCACCTGTATGGAAATAGACCCTCCAGAAGAGAAATCTGCAGACACACACTGTGCGTGTAATTGTTTAGTTGAGAATTTCTTGAAATTGTGTGCGCTCTTCATAAGACCGCATGGAGTCACTAAAAGTTGAGTTCAAAACTCAAGCCTTGTAATGGCCTCGCTGAGTGTATATATATAAATATGTATATATTTATACACACACAAATAGCAAGACGGAAGATATTTAGATGGATAAAGCTTAAAGGTAAAGAGCAAGCCTACAGAAGATACAAGGGAATTCTTATTTGATCTGACGTTATTATGTTGTTAACTTATGACAAACTATTTACCATGAATGAACTTGCTTTCTACAGGTGAACGGGCTCCTCTGCAGGACCTAATCCTTGTTTTGGACACCAATATTCTCCTCAGTCACCTGGATTATGTGAAAAAGATGAGATCTCATGGCCTCGGAGGTGTTTATAATGATTTTAATACTCAATGTTTTTGAATGATTTACTGTTACTTCATATGCCATGAAATGGTGTAACAGGCCATTATAGAATGTATCTAGTTACTTTTCACTTCCAAATTTTTCCAGTTTTGAGCCAAATGCTAAAAGTTATTTAGCAGCAGCGGCTTAGTTATTATTATACATCATCAAGAAATGTCTCCATCTTTATAAACACATCTCCGATTTAAAAGTGCAATACATGTTTAACTTTCCATGCTGTTATTTCCTTTTAATTTCCAAGATCCTTGTAATCAATACTATTTCAGGGCTAACAAACGTCAAACATGTCAAGCCTTGATACAGTGATTAATCACACTTGAGGAGCAGGAAAGTAATTCAAGTATGCAAAGAACAGACCACGTTACAATCACCTGTTCACAGAGAGATAACATCATCTCAGTAACAGTTACAATGGGATTATTGCTGGGGAAATATATCAAAAACGTACCATGAAAATGTCATGAAGCATGGGCTCATCAATACTTCTCTTCCTCGCCCGTTTAGCCATGGGCGTCCCGATAGTCCTGATCCCCTGGGTGGTGCTTCAGGAGCTGGATTCCTTAAAAAGGGGGAGAGGCACGTCGGGTTCTGTGGCGCACCTGGCGACTCCTGCCATCTCTTACATTTACAACTCTTTGAAAAATCGGGAACCTCACCTGTGGGGGCAGTCGATGCAGCAGGCCTCTGAGAGCAGCAGTGAGTGTTTATTTAAGAAAAGTAGTGCAATTAAATTTAGCATTTTGGAAGTGTGTTATTGTGCATGGTGCTTGAGTTGAGCATTACAGCCTATTATTCCATGAGTATCTTGACATTTTACACTATTTTGCGTTATGCACTTATATAAAGCTTTTCTATGTTTATTACTGTTACCACATTCCATGTATCCATGCCCACTCCTTTTCACAAATACTTAGTGGTGCTATCAATGAGCTATTTCTTCATTATTACACATACATATTGTGAATCTAGAGGGCAGGTTTAGCCGTTAAACAAGGTGACCCTTCTTAGCTGTATATATTAATCAAGACTGATTTTGATGTTAGGTTCTCTGCCAAAAGATGAAAAGGGATTTTCAGCAGAGATATTATTAAGTATTTAGGAGCACATAAGCAATTAGTGCATCTCTTGAAACATCTTGCGCTCTTCATCTTTGTCCCCCATGTCTTTAAAAGAAAAGACACTCTGTTGAACGGTGTGGTAACACACTAACCATGAGCTCCCATTGTACTGAATTAAACATGTCTTGTCTTGTTTTTCTCTCTCACTTTCTTTGTCCTCATCTCCTTTCCCCTCTCTCTTTGTACCTACGTGTCCCCCAGATGGTCTGAATGCTGAGAATAATGATGACAGGGTGCTGCAGTGCTGCCTGCAGTACCAGAGTCTGCACCCAGAGTGTGCTGTCATTCTATGCACGTGAGTTCCCCCTCCCCCCGATGGCATGTGCTGCTGCTGCAGGGTGTGTGTCCTCTGCAAATAATGCACATGCATGTGACTGTGAGTGGGCCCAGCCAGATAGTTCCAGTTCATGAGAGAGAGGGCCAGACAGAATAATTTGGAAAGAATAGATGTGCTGAGCATGGAGAATTCAGTTGAGGGATTTTGTGGCCTGCGTAGAAGGGACGGCCATTGTATCAATTCACCTTCTTTTTCCTTTTGACCTATTTCTCTGACTGCCACCATTTCCTAACGCTGTTACGGATTGTTTTGCCAAATCACAGTGGAATTTACTGGGCCGACATTTGGTTAATTTAAGTCGATTTAGAAAAAGATTGATTCTAATGTGGTTTGTGTTATCACTGCTGTATAGACCAGCCAGATAACTAACATTCCTTCCTTGTGTTCCTCTCTAGTAACGATAAGAACCTTTGCAGTAAGGCCCTACTGAGCGGAGTGAAGGCCCTCAGCAAGAATGATTTGGAGGCAGAGAACGGAAAGTCCAGCCATGGCTTTCATCCTCTGCAAAACATTAATACTCCAACCGTGCCCCGCGTCAGCCCTCACCTCTCATCACCAATGCAGAGCAGCAGCTACACACCAGCCCAGCCACGCAGTCGAGAGAGAACAGGCTGGTCTGTGGCAGAGAAAGGTGTGCCGAGCATTAACGTGTACTTTCTTGCAAAGCGGGAAATGACTTGCCATTTTCCACTGTGTTTGCCTCACGTCCAGCCCATCTGTATTAATTGTTTCGTTAGCTGACATTATAGCAAACCAGCAGGGTATTTGTTGTGTGTAGCTGCAATACTACCTAGTGTGTATACTGTGCTCTGCTATGCTCCCCCCTGCTCCTGCTGCAAATATATACATATCATCTTTTTGGAGAACAAAAACTGCTGTGCTGCATTATTGGTATCCACCTACAGTATGTATGCATTTATGTAACACAGATAACCAGCGACTGAGCACAAGAGAGGAGGAAGAGAAGACAAAATGGAACCCCAGAAGCGTTTGTGAGTTAGAGGACTGCCTGCGAGAGGTGCTGTCCGATGTGTTAGAGGTGGAGATGAAGGCCGCCTTTGAAGACCTCTGGCTAGAGGTAACATTGGCAATTATAATTTCACATTATCCTTCAGACTATATTTCAATTAGTGTTTTGAAAATGGTTTTAAAAGATTACCAACTAATATCTGGTATTCGTGAAAGGATTAAAGGTGCATATTTGGTTGGTCCTCTTTGTGTTTTTGATCAAATTTAAATGTTTTGGGTGGAACATTTTGTACTGTCCCCTCTCGTGGGCTATCAAAGAGACAGATTCGTTTTAATTTTGAACATTGCGATAGTATTCCTTTTCGCAATTTCTATTGTGTTCTTTCTCTGTTAACAGATAGTTTGCTTAAAACCCCCCTGGAGTCTTCGAGATGTCTTGCACTGTTTGAAAAAGCACTGGATTGCTGTCTTTGGGCATGTTGTCCCACGGAGGAACCTGCAAACTGTTTTAAACCTCATTGAATTCTTCAACTCAGGTATGTGGGTCAAAGAGGGGGAAGGGCTCGTATGTGTATGAGTGGCTTTAAACAGTCTTCAAGTCTTCTGTGTTTAGTCTTGAATCTTGTTGCAACTGTGACCGGCACCGTCCTCAAGGTTAACAATTCACTATCTATAACATATAATGTCTACTGTTCAATAGAGGCTAGTAAAGATATGATAAAACAAATAGCCAACACATGAAACATGTATGCTAATAATGATCATCTACTATAAACAGTCTTGCCTGTCTTGTTTATAGTCCAAAGACAAAGACACCACTCAGTGTGCAGTTGTTCTGTAACTTGGGAAATGTAACCCAACGTAATATGTAACTCAGTAAAAAAATCTTTTCCACATTTTTTAGACAAATAAATCAAGCCCGGTTAAAAGTTAGTTCTTGTTTTTAGCTTTTTATTTAGCACTCCTCAGACGCTGGTATTCGCTGAGGCTTGATAAAGTCCTACAATGTAGTTGAAAACATTTGACACTAGTTTTCTTAAAGCAAATTCATTTAAATGTGAACAGTATAATTTAATAAAACTAAGAAAATAAACCCTGACATACAATATAACATTATACAAGAGATGCAACTGCATACAATTTCAGATCTGTTGAGCACACAGGTATCTAAGTAGTCTTTGTGCCACTGTAGGAGTTTTAACATTTTATCCTTCTCCGGACAGCAGCTTTAAGATACTGGTTCATCCCTCAGATGTAACCTTGGTTTCAGCCTCCCATTCAGTCTCCCTGTCCACCTGTGTGGGGTCAACTGCAGTGGCACAATGACTTTGATTGCTCCAAGGTTGTTAATAGATAAGACACGGGATTTTCTCCCTTTGCCCGTGTTTACACACTAACACAATGCTGGATTTCTTGGTACCACAGAACTTGGCTCTGTGCCAGGACTGTGAGCGTAAGCCGAGGAGGAGGAGGAGGAGGAGGAGGAGGAGAAAAGGAAGGAGGGATAAACTGTATATGAGGCAAAGAACAAATCTAGTGGAAAAGTACTGCATGCAGTGTTGCGATCGCCCTTGAGCAGGTGGGAGCGTGCATGTGTGCGGACAGCCTCCTAAAAAGTGACAAAGGCTCATAAATGATGAGATTTCTTTTGTACATTGTTTAGCATAGTATACCATTACAGCTAGGGTTACCTTTTGTTAAAGCTAAGTTAAGTCAGCGCTAGAGAATGGTCCCGTCGCAGAAACGATGGATTCATGACGACACGGTCTGATACCACGACAGGGATCATTTAACATGAGTGCTGCCTTTCCATAGGAATTCTTACCCACATTGTTTTATTGTGAACTGATAACCTTAGGCAACAATGAGGGTAAGGGATACAGATCGGTATGTGTCTGTTGTGTTTAAGCTATGTGCCGAGGGAATTAATGTAAGAACATACAACGTCTTTTTAGGTATTGAGTACCATGGAAGTTTCGAAGCAGAGCCGGACATAAGACGCAAGCACACACAAGTTCAGTCTGAGCCAACTGGTTTTTGGTCACTGTGTCCCTCACCGTCTGGATTTTTTGCTTTATATGTACATATTCACACCGGTACTTGTCAAACGGTCACATCCTCATCCGTGGACCACAAAACAGCTGGCAACTCAATGTATGTATGTCCTGTGTATCTGCTGGCACACGTCAGATGGCTCACATCTATTTTTCATGTGTTTATTCAGCTGGGACAGCAAACTGTAGCGCCGCTTCAGCAGCCCTCCAAGAAGCGAAGGAGCTCGTGACAGTATTTGGGAAAAGTTCAGCACTTGTTCCCAGTGCCATCTCAAAAATGGAAAACATTTACAACAACCTACAAGCGCAGGTCAGACATATTCCACTTCTGACCTGTTGAAGAAGTTTACTCCTTTACTACTACCCCACCCTCTGAATTGTGTGTGTTTGTGTGTTCAGTGGGAACCTCCTGGCTGTGATATTCTCATGAATGATAATGAAGAAGAAAAACAACCCACGTGTGCTCAGGCCTCTCACCAGGAAGTGTGGTCCCTGTTTGAGAACATCTGGGCTTATATGTCTCAAATAAGGTGGGTGTACCAGGGATCAGACTGATGTTCTGGGATGAATCTACTGTACAGAACATACGAGGGTCATGTGTTTCATTTTTGTGACGGATTTTCACAATGAAAATGCCTTGATCTTTGAAGATCACAGACGTGTCTTTGGAGGTTGTTTATTTGGTTTTGTATTTAATTCCTCCAGCCCCTAAGGTCATTGGTTTCTGTCATGTTTCAGCTTGGAAGTGTTCAAAGCTCTGGGCTTTGACCCTCACACCATGCGGGGTCCCCCAGCGGTGGGATGTCCTCTGCCACCGCAGGACGCCGTGGTCTGTTTGCACAAGCTGTCCTCCATGGCCTCACAGCTGCTCCAGGCCTTCAGCAGGTATCTCAGCCCGTTTATACCGGTCGGTCAATCTGCCACGTTTGTGTTTCTGTGTTTCACAATGAATCATATAACAACTTGTATATGAGAGGATGATCGCTTGTGGTGATGAAGCCACTGAGAGTTTTCACCTGAGCTCTACTGACCTTTGAAGTCATCATTTTGGTCTTACAAGAGCTCTTAAAATGGGCCACAAATATAGCAACTTGCTGGTGAACGTAGTGTCGCAAATAGCTGCCAAACATTCGCGTAGTTCCGTTGGCAGATCTTGGAGTCCAAACAGAAAGCTATAAAGAGAGTGAATATTTGATGGTCCAGTGCGGCCCGCCGACTTTGCTAAGCGTAAAAACTTTCTATAAAAGTAGCGGCTATTCCTAAAAAGTCCACAGGGGGTCACACTCTGTGAGTGAGCGCATGCGTTGGACCAGAGGCAGCGCCCGCTCGGATTTGTGTGACAACTCTGAATATGTCTACTTGGACACCCTCCATAACTCTTCTCCCAATGTCCCCACGCTATCCCTCCTCGTAACCTTCCCCCGATGTGTCACACATTTGTCTTAGAAACCTCTTTAGACCGTCCTTCCCGTGTCCTAAACCCGCCTCCTCCTTCCTGTGTCTTGGTTTATGTGTGTGTTGTATACACTTAGCTGTCAGTTTTCCCAATCAATCACAATCATTTGAATTGTGTTGTTATTCTGATTGACCATGAAGCTTTGCCGTGTCACCTTCACCACGACGCAACAGACAACTCTACACTGTAGTACGGTTCCACAGTGTCTCACAGTGTTTCTCACAGTGCCATCTGGCAAAAACGAGAAATGCTTAAAAGTATCCATGAGTGCTCTTTACTTACAGTAGCTTCCCCAGTGTATACTTTGGCCCTGCAGTGGCCTCCAAACATATTTGCACTTGCTTACATTTCACAGAATGGAAATCACAGAGGAGCAAGAAGTCTTTGGTTCAGTGCAGTGAGAAATTTGCACCATTAAATAATACAGGATTCAATGCAGGATGTGTCTCCTTGCCTCCCTCTCACTCAAGGGCACGAAATATGGATCATTTAGGTACAATTTATATTCTATTCATCACTCCTCTGCCGTCCCTATTTACTCTCTCACTCACTTTGCCCCCCCTCCCCCCACCTGTGTTTGTGCATCTCTGTTAGATGGATGGATAGAAATTGGGAGAAAACCGGTCCTGTGTAGTCATGTTGTTACATATACTGGAACAAAGGCTGTCCCTCTAATATGTGGTGTGTGTTTTTGTCCATCTCAGTGTCTTGTCATCAGCCGCCGGTTTGGAGGAAGTTTCGGCCCTGCTCTGCATCATCCGCTCTAATAAGGTTGGTGCCATAACTCATGTTAGTGGTATTAAACTAGCTTATTAAAGTACCGTTGACCTTTTTCCACCACGGTGGTCTTTGTCTCGTTTGACTCCCCTTGGCCCACTCACATGCACTGTGTTTCAGATTATTGACATGGATTCCAGACTGACAGCAGAAGACCTTCTGGATTGTTTCTCACAACAAGACTACAGGTAGAGCGCACAAAACACACACACACACACACACACACACTCAAATAGTGCTGGAAACTGTTGACACAGAACAGAATGCTGTCACGCTATGACTTCAGTTGCACGTCCGTTCCGGTGACTTGAGTCCACACTCTTCACCTCCTCTAAACGTTCTCACCTTCCTGTCCGTTATTGTGTCCCACTGTGTTAACCCCACACGCGTGACTCTCACCCTCAGCCCTTCCTGGGCCGCTGTTCTTTCTGGTTTCTTAGGAATCCAAGTCAAACTCCAATTATTCAAGTTGCTCTTCCAGAGAATTAATTATCTCGTCTTGTAAATCGATGTGCTCACTTTTGTTTTGTACGTCAGAGACGGAAATTACATTTTCTGGTCCTGTGATTCAACTTTTAATAGGTTCTTAACACATTTTATTTTATGTATCACTTAACGTCTTATTAATGTCATTTGTGTGTCCTTGTTCTTTGTTCTTTTCGTCTTGGAAGAGAGGCTTTTTGATTCTTTGTGCTTTTTTAATAATTAATTCTTGTGAAATAGATCCAGCACCCCCTTCAATTGTCATGTACTGAGTCACTCAGTTGATTAATGATGATTTATGCTCTTAGCTCCGACATTCTTTTGACACGAATTACACACTTTTATACCAACAACATTCTCTATTCCCCCAGCTTGTGTTGAAGCATGCCTGTGCAGGTATGTGGCAGGCATGTGTTGCCAGCCACACAGCCTTTGCTCTGTCATAATAGCCCTCCCCGAAGATATCCCCCGCAGAACCCTGATAATAATGGTGGACATGTCAACAATTCCAGCCCTCATTAGGAACACACTTCATCAAAGGGCGGCGTAATAGAGCTTTGTACTTATATAATCTAATAAACCCATGGTCATCACCAGGCTTTCTTGTAATTTATCTGTTGCATTGACAAGAATTATTCCTGCACTAAGATTGACTTACTACTACTTCCAGTGGCAGTGGGAACTGGAGGTAAATGCCTGGTTGACTCTATTTGAAACATGGAGATTAAACAGGACTCTCATTATAAGTTCTGTTGAGGTTAACATAGAGTCACAAATGTCGTCTGGATTGCAGCAGAACACTTAACCAGGTTATTGTGAACGTCATTTGCGTAACACCTGATTTTACTTTATGTGTAAATACTGGAAGTATTAAATACGGAGTTATTTTAAATACGGAAAGTTAATCACCAACCATTTTGATAGTTGCAGTATAAGACAAACCGCTCAGACATGAAGAGGCCCATCATACTGTGCTTCTGGGGCTAAATTGCTGCCGCAAACATAACATAGGTTGAACACACAGCTGTTTCCATGGAAATAGGCCAAAGTTGTGATATATTCAACAGATTATTTGTTTTTTCCCAGCCATTATGTGTCATCTCTTGGTGCAGCAGCCTGACTGTCCACTACATGATTCCACTACCACATAAAAGATATTGACTTTCACTTACAGTAAGTGATAGAATGGCTCTAAATCAGTACTGCGGTTGCTTTTACATTTAAAATGATTATTGTATTATTGAGCTTTGCGGGCACTCGCTGTTAAGCTGAATCTGCTCGTAAATATTTTATTTGTTACATTCACTGCCAAAGGATGTCGGAGTTTACTTCTTGAGCGCATTATCCGTAGTGGTAAATATTTGATTTTGGTGCGGCGGTATGATGTCATCAGTTATATAAAGCTTGGGGGAGGTCTTTCTCCAGGAGCTGTGTTCTTTGTTTCCTAAAGAAATAAGAAAAAAAGATATGCATATACAGATTTATTCATGACTATACGCATAGAAACTTCAGTTATTCAACAATCAGTACAGAAAAAGTAGGCTTGGAAAATCTTAATTAGAGTAATTCATGTGCAGCATACACAAGCACCATGAGTGTATGATAGACTCTTAAATGTTTGTAATTCGGTGGTAAAGACGTGCACATTTACACACAGTAAGCACTTTTCTGAAGGCCAAGTCAATTTGACCTTTTTTTTTGTTCTCACTGGATGAGAATTGAATCAAACTGTCTGCTAGCACACCTTAATGTCCGAGAGCTATTCATGAGCATGAGAATATGCGCAGCATGTTAATGTGTTTCCACCGTACCCGCCAAGTCATCTGAACATGTGCGGTACCGGTTGTAATAATGTTTGTGCGAACTGTTGGTATTTGCATGTGTCATCGGGGCCTGACGCTTCACATTTCGGTTATCACAGCTGATAAGTCACTGCTCCCTGACATTGTGTGCATGTCCAGCCCGCGTGTGCAACGTGCATATCACCTGCTCCTTATCCATGGCGGCCGAGCCTTTCAGCATTATCTAATATGCGTACGTGGTTTAACGAAACAGTCAAACAGAGTGACCAGGGGCAAACACCGACTGCCGTTTGATCACATTAGTCAAATTATGGAGAGAAGCACGGCCTAACTTAGATTTAGATTTTCTGATTTATTTTATTTTAACTACAACAAAGAGAAACTGCTCTGGCTTTAGACGGATCATCTTTCAGCAATTAAACAAAAAGTTGATTATAGTCTTGTTCGAAATAGAAGAGAAGCATTCGTCTCGTCCTTATTACTTAGAACTTTAATATTTCTGACTGTTTGTAAGTCTTTTTAGGTGAGAAACATTAGAAATACAAAAAATGATTTCTATAGGTAAGCCTTCCACAAGTTTTCCCTCCTTCTGATGGGAAGCAGTAGTTTGAGCCACCGGTTGGTTGCCATTCAGTTCATGTCTCAGCTTGATCAGCAGAGTCATGTCGACGTGTCACGTGGTTCTATGCTAACCATAAAATGCAAATCACCATGTTGATCCCTCGATGTGCTATCAAACACACAACTCCCAGAGGCAGCACCGCTCTGCCTCTTTTGTGTGCGCGTTGACGTTCCGGGTCACCGGCAATTCATGTGCGTCACTGACTTTGCGTGTCTGGGCTCAGAGATCCTTCCTGGTGAGAGCTTAAAGCTCTTAATTCATAGTCCTAACAAAGCAAACCCAGTGGCAGGAAGCCTTCCACACAGTCCCGCTGTCCGTGCAGGACGCTCGGATGTAAAATAAAAAAACAGATTCGGGGGAAAGATGGGTGACACAAACTGCTATTTTCCACAGGTCATGAAAAACACACCGCTGCACTAGTGGGTGAAGAAAGGGAGGTGGATTGACGGGATGGAGGGGACAAAGAGGGGTGTGGGGGGTCTGAGTTATCAACAGCCGCTAAAAACGCCTCTTTCTTTCCCCCTTCTCTCCGCCCGGGAGTTACAAAACGCTCCGAAAGGAAACAAAGCGCAGGAGGAAACAAACAAGCAACAAGCTCCCTCAGTGTCTCTGCTGCCAGGCAGCTGTTGCCGGGACCTAAGCAGCCGATTTATAAACCGGTTTGTGCTCACAGCGACAGACATTTCCGTCTTGTTGGTTACCTAATATTTTTTTTTACTTTTTTTGTGGTGTTTTATGTGTTGTTGGAAAAAAAAGGACATTCAGCTGGAGAAAAGTGTAGATAGCTGCTATTGAGACCTTCTGGAAGCTGCAGCCGACACAGAAGCGCCTTTGTCTATCCCGGACATTCTGGGCTGAACATGCTCAGCACATACAAAGTTCGGCACATTGACGTGTCTGTGGGGAGTCTGCACAATTATCCGCAGGACAATCCAACACGATTCGTTGCGCATACGAAGCTATTACTCGAATTCTCTACCCATGTAACAAAAGCTTTGTGTGGCTTGGTCTGGCTGATCCGGCTCTGGCTGTATTCCACGGACATTGACGCTTGTGCAGATCTGTTGGTGAAAATAAGTCATCCACCCCCACAGATGAATTGTGGCATATTGTCGATAAAACCCCAGACAGTGACGATTGTCTTAAATATCTGTGAATAAATAGGCAGAAGTCAAGGTTAAGGTTATAGATCGGAAGAAAGTTTGAATTCTTAAAATCTACTTCATCGTGATTTTGCGTCACAGCCGGCGAAACATCCTTCTTCCACCCAGTTCAACGCAGACAGACGTGGTTGCTTTTAGAGACCGGAAGGCTCAGCATTTGTCAGGCACACTGCTCCGCCCTGTCCTTGTATCTAATTGATCTCCTCGCCTGCGCTCCTAGGGTGAAGCTGAGCGTTGGAGGGAACCAGTTAATGGGGCTTAAAGAGGCTCTGGATTGTTGTATTGGAACCACGGGACAACACATCACCTTCCCCACATCACCGCCCTGATTGGACCAGAACCCGGGAGTCTGCAGCCAAAGAGATGAGCTGAATAAACTCACATCTTTTACCTAAATCAAACGCTGTTATTTTGAAGGGGTTGCTGATTATACTGTGCCTGCGGTGACTGCAATTGTTTACATTAAAAAAAATTATTGTACCAAAAAAAAAACACACACACTGTTGGTCACACAATGAATGGTCGCTTTTGGCCGTTCTGACAAGAACGGATGAGCCCTGCTTTCAATGGCCTCCAATAATCTTTCAGCTACTTTACGGGTTCCAACATATTCTGCCAAATCACAGGTGAGCAGGAACATTTTTCATTCTTCACCATATTGAAGATCATTAAGTCTGTAAAAATAATTTCTTACACATATTGTTTTATCTTTTTTTAAAGTTCTTATTAGTTAAATAAACACTGGCTTCCATTATTTAAACAGTTTTTTGCATATGTGTGTAAACATGATGCAAAAAACATTGATATTTCTTCGAACTTGTCAATGTGACAAAGGAACAATGCCTGAAGATTTAGGTTTCGCCTTCGCCTCACTGATCCCATTATATATTATTTCTCAACTTCAGCGTAAGCTTCTGCTCGCTGTGCTCAAAGGAATAATACCTTTATGTAAATAGTCTTTGGTTTCATGCTGATATAAACAAAAACAACGATTGTACTCACATATCACACAACTTTGTGTCTTGATTTAAAAACAGCTTTTTCGATACAAATATATTTTATGTAAAAGTGTTAAGGTTTACAATAAATTAAAGGTTTTGTCCCGAGCCAATATATTTTCTTATGTGTGCAGTGATTGATGGAGTGTGTATGAGGGCTGAGGGGGGATCGGAACACAGGTGATGGGCTGAGAAGATCACACACACAAAATATCTTAATATAAAAAAAGCTAAACATCCGTTTTTATAATTTGCATGACTGGTTGCCAATTATTTCCACAATTAAGTAGCCTTTTTTTTTTTTAATCTGGTCAGCTCCATTCAAGGGTTGTATAGATCCGAAAATCATGGTTCCTAATAATTAACTGAAAGGGAGCAGGTGGGCTGGACATTAGCCTTCATTGCATTCAGTCTTCCTGTCGCCCACGGCCCATCTGCCAGGGTTTTTGGTTTGACCCATGCTGGCGCATCAGCAGATTGTCAAGAGGTGAACGAGTGCAGGGTGGATTTCATAAAGTGTCCGCGGTCATGCATACGCAGCTGGTCCCCTCTCAACACTCTTAAGGGCCTGAGCGCCTGTCATCCCTTCCTGTTGAGCGCAGTCAGCCAGCTTACTATAATCTCTCCTAAAAGACACTTAGAGGAGCTGGAAAAAACCACGGCTTGGTGCGGTTGTCCCTGAGGAAAAGGGTGACTAGGAGACAATCATTACGCTACAGAGCAAAGGAGACCAGGTGGCAGTAAAAGTTCAATTTAGGGTCAGCAAATCAGCTGAGCTACAACTTAAACCAACTGGCTTCAACATTAACTGGAGCTTACCTCCTTGGTTAAAAACCAGTCAATCCTGTTGAGACATACAAACGTAGACATTAGATAATCACATTTGTTTCTGCTCACTCAACATTTTAGAAAGTAGGCTGCAGGCAAAACTTGATTTAAATGATTTATTAATTAAGAAATGTTACAAATGTGATAATTTCTTGTTCCAACATTCCTCCCAGAATAATCTGCCAATGCCTGACACTTTAAACACACACACACAAAAAGGACCTTCAGTAAACTGCATCTCTACATACATCAATTAGTTAATCACAATAACAAAAGTCTGGCTAGCAGAAGCATGGTTGTGCGCGTGTGGTGTGTGCACAAAAACTATACGAAATCTGGCACTGATTTATTGACTTTAAGCTGTCTGCTACTACTTGTATTTCATCAGTAAATCAGCAGTGTATAAAAAAAATATAAAAAAGGCCATCATTTAAGATTCAAAAAGCAATCCAGCTTGTTTAAAATGACAAAATGCCATGAGGTGTTTATCAACTTGCACTTTAAGGCTTCAAACCACTGACCTTTAAATATGTGAGCAGAATTACATTTCCATGACAGAAATATACTTAAATAAAACCTTTAACTTAGTTAAGTTAATAGTCACCACTTCATACAGCCACAATCCAAGTGACCAATAACTGCTAGCTATGTGAAAACTGTTGAGCTCGGAGAGAAAAGAAAAGCACTAAATGTGTATTAAATGTTAGTATATGACAAAAAGGAGGAAGAAACAAAATATATACAGAACGAAAAACATTGTATGCAACTTGCAAAGGCGTCATGTTGTTTTGGACAACAATCCTCCCCAATACCCCCAATATAAGCCAGTCTTCACTGAAGACCCCCCACATATCTCACACACACAGTCACACACACACAGTCAGTCACACAGAGAGAGAACATCACGAAAGACGATTACGTCACTAAGCCTGTTAGTTTGCAAAAAGGTGAAGCGCGCCCCCGCCCCCTTCCCCCGCATTCAGTCGGAGAGTGGAGACGGCGCCTTGGTGCAGTCGTTCCACTCGTCCGCCTCGGGGCTGTACACCTCCATCGTGTTGAGGAACTCGTTCCCGTCGAAGCCTCCCACAGCGTAGATGGTTTCTCCCAGCATGGCCACACCGGCATTGCTGCGGGACGATGTCATGCTACCCAGCATCCTCCACTCGTTGCGGGCTGGGTCGTAGACCTCCACGCAGCGGAGCGCGTGGGAGCCATCGAAGCCGCCAACGACAAACAGTTTGCCTTGACAGATTGAGAGAAATATTAGACGTGTATTCCCATGACACAATGTAATAAAAAGCACTTAGGTCACACCGAAGAGGCTGCCAGCTGATTGCATTATTCACGTCCCCAATCGCTGCCGTGGGCTTACCCGCATGGACGGCAACGGCGGCCCCCCTGCGCGCCACATTCATGGGGGCTATCAGGGTCCAGGTGTTGTTCTCGGGGTTGTAGCGTTCCACGGTGTTCAGGCAGTTCCACGACTCCGCCCCTCCGATCACGTACATGAAGCCATCCAATTCACACACTGCTGACTGGTGCCTCCCTGAAAAAAACAACATGTCAATGTCAATGACAGACATTTGTATGGATGCTGGAAAAAGCAACAACAAGAACAAAAAAAAGAGGTTCAATCAGGTTACAGGGATCAGATGGAAGGGGTTGACACGTACTGATGTTAAGGGAGGCGCAGTTGGACCAGGTTTTCATCACAGGGTCAAAAGCATCACAGTTCTTCAAGCCCTTCTGCCCACAGGGGTCCGATCCTCCAACAACGTAGAGTTTGTTGTTCAGCGAGCAGACGCCTTTAGACAGAGAGGACAGCAATGAACCAACTATGCAAAGCAGCCGGAAATTAGCAACAGAGGCTGCTGCAGGCGTTCTCCTGTAAACGTCCCTAAATCCAAATATCGCTTTATGGATCCCCGCAAGACCGACTCACCTGCATTGCAGCGGTTTGTCCTCAGCTCCGGCACCTGAGCCCATTCATCAGCATGTGGATCGTACGTCTCCCCGCAGCTCAGCTCGTCAGAATGTCCATTTGACCCGCCGATCACATACAGCTGACCCTGGGAGGTGTGAAGGTGCTAGTCATTAGGTGAAAATATATAAATAAAACATGCCAACTGCCTTGTATGCTTGAAAGGACGACATTAAGTCAACAGAGTTTAGAAACCCAGCCATTGGGACAGGCTGCGGGGAAGTATTTGCACAAGACAATTGAAACTTGTTTAAACATAAGTGGCATGATATTCAAAATGTCACTTCCTGGTAAAGTCAATAAATCTTAAGATTATAATGAAGAGTAGTCTGTACCATGAGCACAGCCATCTGAAATCGAGCCCTTGGAGTCCGCATGGGAGCGATGAAGGTCCAGCGGTCCTCTTTGGGGTCGTAACACTCCACAGTCCTCAGACACTCCTCTCTGTTGTAGCCCCCTGCAGTGACATCGACGTGCACCGAGGTTAGCCTTTAGCTCTGTGGTCAGACTTTGTATTTGCATAGTTCCACTTTACGCTAAAAGAGAACCATGTATTCCAAGCTGCAAATTCATTTATTATAATTGTATACAGTCCCACTCACTTTTGGACACACTTTCTCATTGAATTGAATTAGAAAATGTGTTCAAACTTTTGACTGGTAAAACGCCAACTACACCAACCTTCCAACCATGTTTTGCACTAACCTGCTGCGATGAGTCTTCCGTTCAGGGCCACGGCGCCCAGGCCGGAGCGAGCGTAATGCATGGGGGAGAGCGGCTGCTCCTCCAGCTCCTCGGGCTGGGCCTCGAAGCTGAGGCTCTTCATCAGGCAGGGGGTGGAAGAGGGAGAGGTCTGGGGGCTGCTCCGACCGTGCAAGAAGATCACACACAACACACCATCCAGCACAGCCAGACACAGGTGGGTGTGGTCTAGGAGTGAGATCGGAGATTGTTTGAGCCGGTGGAAAACTAAAGTCTTGATGATGCAGATGAAGCTCGGCTGTGCAAGTGCAACATCCTTCCGTTTGAAGCCATCAGACTTTATTTGTGCAGCTTCAATGGGACTTGTGCCTAGAATATTGAACCGGCTGTACTGCAACCAATCACATGTATGCATACACTTACTTGTGGTCTTCTCAGAGGCTATGTACTTCCACTCTCTCCTGCTGGGCTGTTTCGGGGCATTTGCTGCTTGGTTGGAAGGTGACAGGCTTCCTGAGGAGCTGCAGCTCATCTGTCTCTGGGTGCTCTCCCGTACGGGTTTCTTCTGCAAGAGCACAGTGCAGCTACAGAAGCCAAGCTTGCACCACAGGTCCACTAGTGGCCACAACACCAGGTAATCATACCCCAAAAGCTACGCTTCGATCCGGCGACTCTAACGTAGACATTTGCATTGAGTAGGTATTCCCACACCATCTGAAGCCAACAACACTGTAAACAACGGTCTTAGACCATGCTACCACCAGAGAACGGCACATTTGAGGCACAAATCAAAACGGAGGGCAGAAAAGCTGAAAGCCATTAACGCCCACCCCCACCATGGCGATTAGCTAAAAAAAAAAAAAAAAAGGGGGGTTTGTTTTAATATATGCCCAACAGCAAAGCCAGGCAGGCGTCATAGCCCATGTCTTGCTCATGTCCTGACATTAGTCTTTACATTGTTGCTGAGCTGTCATATCAAATGAGCCGCATCTACTTGTTGCCAGGCACAGGCAGTGTAGTGTGTCTGCATGGCCAGGCACAAGCTGAGCATTAAAGCTACACACTGCCAAGCAATATGTAGACTTCATTACATTGAAGCTAGGCACAAGCTGTTGAGTACCTGCACAAACTGAAGGTGGTCATCCTCGCCACCTAACAGCTCACTGTGCCCATCAATCACCAGCCCTCCATCCACCAGCTTATGGTCAGGTGAGTAGTACAGCGTTTGCACCTGAAAGACAAACAGGAAACAACACACCCATGTGGCTGTCTCCATGGCAACACACTGAGAACCCCAGCGTAATGGGGAGAGTAGGGAGGGAAGGAGGGAGGGAGGGAGGGAGGCCGAGGAAGAGGGAGGCCGAGCTGTGAAGAGGAAGAGGGGAATGAGACGACGGTGTGGCTCTCCAGTCGCTGGGACGGAAATCTTTCTTTAACTGCCACTGCACAGAGTGGGTTAAGTGGTGGAGCTCAAGAAGTTATCCGACAGTGGCTTTCCTTAATTACCATCTAAAAAAAGAGGGAGCTGGTGAAGAATGAAAGGCGGCATCTGGAAAGATCTTCAGTAAGAATGAAGAAAAAAAAGGAGGGAATGTCT